AGACTGGCTTTGTTCGTCATGTTCTTTCTTTAAAAAGAAGAATAGTAGTTTTTCCCAATGAAATTTTAATTATACATTTAAAACATTTAGTTTTAGCTATTAAATAAAAAAACACACACACACACACAAAATCATTTCCACTTGTAAAGACGCTCTGTTACCTATAAATTAAAAAGACAAGACTGACATAATAAAATACTAATAGTGATTCGTGTTTTAATTCCTTCGCTAAGTGTTTAATGAAAGCATACTTGACTTCTTTATTGACTAAGAATCAAGTAGGTAACTCAATTAGGATTGACAGCTTTAAGAAACCCAAAATTTTTGTGGTGTTTTTATAATACAATCGTTCAAAGGTTTTTAAAAGTTTAATTTATTAAATTTATTAAAAAATTCTGAAAATACTGCATGGATTCAGTTATTAATTATAAAATATAAACGAAATATGTATTTTATATTATGTACGTATCTTGAAATCTGCATTACTACATTTTAGACAACCCATTTATTGAGGGCCTTTTTGTAACTGCCGTGTAATCAAAAGTGTCATTTTAGGGATCTGACTAAGAGCATACATTATAATTCATGTTAAAAATTAACTGAAAGAAAAATGTATTTCACCAAAACATATTATATTTATAACATATTATATATAACAATAATTTAAAATTAAATATAAATACTTACTTTATATTCAATAAAAATTTAACTAAAATTCACTAGCTTACTTTAGCCTTTATGATAAACCGGTTTTATAATAGGGTCATGCGAGATCTTTTATAAAAGTTTAAAAATATGCACGGCTCTTACTGTATTACTATTCCACGGTTGTCGATGGTCAAATTCAAAGCAGTCCAGGTGTTTATGCTAATATGTTACATGTTAAAATTCGGTTTAGGTTTGTATAAGTAGGTTTGTGTTAATATTCTATGTTATTTTTATTAAAATTAAAAACAAGAATGAATAAACCTTTCTTGACTAATCAGTATTCAAGGTGACCTTACGCGCGCATGCGTCTTTATAAAATGCTCTATACCCATTTTTGTATCAAGGCCAACGATCATTTCCCCTTTTGTCATTTCAATGCATTCCCTAAATACGCTGACCTTGCAGCTCCAGGACTTGAATAAAACAAAGGACGTTTTATAAATCTTCGTGAATTAAATAAACGTAGGTAGATGTACCGGAATGTTCGATAGAATGACATTTATTTCTACTCATTTTTAATATGATAGAAATAAAAAAAAAATTATAACTTAAATGAATGAAATGTGTTTTTTATAGTAAGTAATCTCGTTAATTAAAGAAACTGTGGAACAATAGAGAAATGTAATCATAGCGTGACTACTTAGAACAGTGAAGTGACTTTTTCAAAAATGCATGGTATATCGCATTTTCTTCATAAACATCATTCAAGAGAATCAACACCGCCCTTGGTTAAGGATAACAGCTCTGAGAGTTGGTGTTCTACCTTAAGTTCCACTGATTCCCGATCATCTGTACAAAATGATACAGCGTCAAAAGCAATTCCTATTAATCGCCGCGGATGTTCCGCTCAACGGAGTTTTCGGGGAAGCCCCCTGGAATTTGCGTCTAGTCCTCGGGATCGCTATCCAAATTTTACTAGTTACTACCGAGATGTTATGGAAGGTCATGGCTCGCCATCGCCACACCACTATAACACTTCTAATTGGGATGTCAGACAAAGACGGAGTGATGAAGAGCGCTATCAAAGTAACATGAATGCCTATCATGTGTCGAGACAGGATTATCGTAATTTTATTTCGCCTTTATACAATGAGGTTATGGACGATATACAAGAAAATGAATATAGCAAATGTGAAAAGTATGGTGAAATAAGTAGCACTAAGTTGAGTCATGGTTCATATAAAAACCGCTTTGATAATAAAAGCTTTGCTCAAAAATTATCAGAGAGCGCCAACAGTCCTAAAGATTGTCAGTCTCATACTACAGAAAGGCGGGGTTCAGGATCTAGTTCGAGTGGTCACCGTCATAAACACTCTATACAGGATATTATTCGAACATTTAGCAAAAAAGTAGGAAACTGGCGTCATGAAGCAGGTGAAGGTCGACGAGGGTCGTGTGCTGTTCCGGCAGCGAATAGTGAGCGCACTGTCCAGACTGAAGAATTTCGATCACGTTCAAAATCACTTGATGCCGACAATATACAAAAAGGAATGAAAATATCTGTACTTGATGATTGCGGTGCAACATACCAAATTTTTGAAAAGATCCTCCAAGAAGGTAATTCATTTAATAATTATTGATTTAAAATATTCTATTTAGGACATATCATTTATCCGAATGTGTTATTTCTTAAAACGTCATGAGTATTTTTTCATTAATGTAACTAGCGTCGTCCGCTTCGTTTACTGTTTAGTGCTGTAAGGTCATATTTATTTAGATATCACCTTTATACGGATTTATGACAGCATTGTAAATAAAAAAGCCCATGATTTTAGGAATACGTTTTATAAACTTAAAGGTTCTTTTAGCAACTAATTACCAATAAATAAATTTATTGCTTATTATTTTCCTCAAGAACAATTGTGCAAGATGGATTTTTTTTCTTTGTCTGTAACTCTGTTCTTAAAGAATTTTTTTCGTATATCTCTGATAAAATTTTTGTGTGTATTACCGATAATAATTTATCTCGGAAATTATCTGTTTACGTTTTTTTCATTTTATATTTTCCGTCGTACTTTATAGTTTTGAATAATGTCAACAAATGGACATTGAACAGATTGTGCCAGAATTTGTATAAATAAAGTTACTTCTTGGCGATTTGTTTACGGTATTTTAAAACACAATAATTACTTAATTACCTGTAATGGTAATGATTTTTCCTTAAACAGTTTAATGTCCTTATTGAAATTGTTGATAACTTGTTATTTTTCTTTTTATTTTATTATTACACTCTATTAGACCAAGGTAAAGGGATGAAGCCTTATTTTTTAGTGCAGTTTGTTCGAGATAATAGCCACGATAAAATAAAACTTTAGTTGTTTATATATAGCATTAAATAAAGGCAATTAATTTTTTAAATCCTACATATATTTACTATACTTAGAACACTTAAGAATTAGTCTGAGACGCTAAAATAAGAATAATTAAAAATGGTTGGATTATCATAATAAGAATTATGATAAAAGATCAGACACTAGTAATTGAATCCAAGATTAAAATTTTTTTCAAAGCATAAGTAAAGACGGCAGAATACATTACGTAAAATTAGAATGTAAGAATACTTGGTCAGACTTATGGCAAAAATTGTTAGTTAATTAATTATTGATTAGACAGTTAAATCTAAGGAGAAACTTGAAGTCTTGAACCCGGTGCTTAATCATGGAATTTTTGGCAACAAGTCAAACCCTGATCTGCATAATATTGGCATTAGTTGTTCTTCATAGATCCAATACATTCAGTGTCTAATGAGAAAATTTTTGGCACGGTTAGCGAGACTACCTCACCTGTAAGTAACAATTCACGGAGATATTAAGACAGACGCTTGAAAGAGTAAACTCATTAAACTTTAATATTCAAATGTTTATTTTCTAAGAATGTCCCAAATAAGAGAAATATTAATTATTTGATGCTAGAATTATATGATTGTGTAACAAAAGTTAAAGCATACAATTTTCAAATTAAAAAATTGCAAGAAAAGGTACATGAAAAACAATATCTTTGAAAGAAAATGGTGGTATTCTATAACACTGTTATTCGAAGTACAAAATTATTTTATTACTTTAAGCAGCAATTTTTTAAAATATGTGATTTCATGAAAGTGAGTGTGCAATCCATTTAGTCAATATTCGAGCTTTATGTTAAAAAAAGATTAATTTTGGTTATTGTAACTTCAGTCAAATTTTTTTAAATTACCCACACTTTTTAGGCAATATTGTGATCTTGATTTAGAATGACGGTTGTGATTTAGGTAAAAAAAAGGGTTGGTATCGTACCCACCGTCACTGTCTCGATGGAAATTACAATTGTTTACAAACAGTTTCTGAAGCACCTAAAATATCTATAAATGGTATTAGCATAAAAAGACATTTATTTAATATAGGTGATTATTATATTTAATGTGTGCGAGGAAAAAAGACATGATATGTAATATTATTGCAGTAGTTTATTATTCTTCACAAAAGACTCAGTTACGTTACTACGTTTTTAGGCTCTCCTTTTCTCTTCGAAATATACAAAGCAGACATCAAAAAGGAGTTACGCACCTGTGTGTATTTATAATACACTAGTCTAAATGTTACGCATGTGACCTTTATTAATCGTTTCCTTATAGAAAACTGGGTTATATTATTTTAACAATTGATAGGTAACTATATTTAAACTAGTTTGGTTGCGAGAGTCATTGACAAAAAAAATAAACTACGTTTATGTCGGCACAAAGATTGATATATTTTATTTCATCTTAACCAATTTCAGTATCGTGATTTTTATCACGATTTTTATCACAATAAAGGAAGTTAAATTATTTGTAATTTAGTTTTTAAATTAAGCATATTATAGTTATAAATAACAAATTTGTAACCGATTATTATTAATTTTTGTAGTTTATGCTCAAAGTTGTAAGAGAAGAAATCAGTTAGTAACTTGCAACGATTAATAACGAGTAATACATATTTTTATACTTATTTAATATTATATTACTTCTTTTATATTTCTACTACATCATCTTTTCTCTTCATTTTCTATTACTTTATTAGGCAACTTGCCTCAATTTAATATGTAACGTATAAAACAAATGACAGGATAAACGAAGTGCGAGTTTTATATTGTTATAATTATCATTATTTCACGTTTAATGTTACATGTTTTAAATGAAATTCTCCTGGCTTGCATATTGTGTCGTTTGTTATTCTTGGGATATAAAATAAAAAAAAAACATTTCTATTACTAAGAAAAAACCAGTGTATGTACAAATATAACTATTAGTCAAAATAATATTAATGTTTTGGTGACAGGAGCTTACCTTCGCCGAGCGGCATCTCAGGAGGCTGAGAAGCGTCGCTCGTCCCTGGGCAATGTTCCCAGCGGTCGTCATCGGATGTCAGATGCTTTTCTTGATCCCCATCATGCGGCCATGCTGTTCAGAGATTCCAGAGGGGTAAGCATATTGATATATACATACCAAATATTCATTGATGTGACTAAGCCTGTCAGGTTTTCGCTTGTTTAGATTCCATCGCAATTTGTCTTTGATCTATATTAATAATATAGATTATTGATTAACGTACGTAGCAAAATGGAAGCGATTTTTCGTAACTGTCACATTTATTTCTTTTTTGTTGTATTGACAGCCTATGTTTGTATAGAGAATAATTTCATAATCTACTTTTTTTTAATAGATTGAATTAGAAATTTTAAATAAACTTTAAGTACAGTGAAACTTGGTTAAGTGGGACCTGGATAAGTGAGAAACCTCCATAACTAGAACTCATGCTGAGGTCCCAACACTTTGGCACTGAATTACCTCTGTTAGTGGGCCGAGATAAGCCTCTATATCTGGGATTTGTTCTTTCGATTTATCATCATAGTTACCTTTATAACTGAGACAGCGAGTAAATTTTATATGCATAAACCTCTGTAACTGAGATAACATTGTTTGTTTACTCATTCTTTTTCTACCCACAAACTCCACACGTAATTCCAAGTACGTAAGTACAAATTTTGAGCTTCAATTACCTTCAGTTTTAGTTTCGCTTTACTATCATACAGATGTTTATTTGAAAAATGCCAAAACGAAAGCTACAATCGTTATCATTATATGAAAAACTGAGGTTAATATCCGTTTATGAAAGTGGGAAGACACGCGAAGAAGTTTGTGTCTAATTTAATGTACCAAAATCGACTCTTTGTAGAATAATTCAGAGTAAACATAAAATTGAATCACAATGTTCTGAAGGACAAGGGAAACTAATATTTTTGTTGATTACATTTGTATGTTTACCTTTAACTAAAACCTTTTTATTAAAACTCATTTAGGTACATACATAACACGTTATTTTATTTAATGATTGTATAACTGAAATAACCCGTATTCTCTATTAATAGAACCCTCTGTAAATGAGACAGATATTTATTTATACCTGTATATCTAAGACACTGGGTAAGTGGAATACCTCTATAAGTGAAACGAAATTGCAGGTCCCTTGAGGTCTCACTTAACCAGGTTTCACTGTATATTGAAATATAATTCGTCTATCTGTGAAGATTCCGAGTGTCACTCAATATCCGATGTTGACTTTTCCTTTAACTTTTAAACTACAAATGATCAGATCATTATGAATGATAGGGAACATTAATTGTTTTTTAATTTATTTAATACATATTTGATTAATTATGTCGAAAGTTTCAGTTAAAAATAGATTCAATTAGGATAAAGTCAGTTGAAAAGAAGTTACACCGAAGTGGATTATAATATATGAATTCCATTTCAAAGTTATGACCTTTAACATTAAAGTATAAGTAAAATACCATAAAACCTAGTATAAGTAAAATTTTAAAAAATAAAATAATAAATTAATAAATAATAAAAATCAACAAACTAGTTGAAATCGTTACTTTTGATAACTCAAGGACCGTTGTGTAATCTTTTGGTTATTTCTCTCGTATATTCTTAGCGATTATTAAGATTAATCCTAGATCTGCTTAGTAAGAGCAGATAAGTGGACAGAGGACAATATTACACTACTAATGTAGTATAAGAGATTTGTGAATTACCTGATTCCTTATGCTTTTTTTGCTTTGCTGTGGCATCTTAAATATTTGTAATATGTATTTAGAGAATAAAAGTAACATATGTAATGAATACATAAATATTGTATTTAGACAATTATTACACACATTAACAATTAAGTAGTCGCTTTGTTGATCAATAACATTGTAAGTTAATAATGTTTAATACAAAGTAATTTTGTTCCGGTGGTAAGCGTGTGAATTACGAACTAATTTCTGATTTGTCGTTATCAGAAATATTTGCAAGTAAGCTAGAACGTGCCCTTATAAAGTAATTACATTTTAAATTTAAGTATTAATTTTTTTATAACAGATTCAATTACACTAACGAAATAATTATCTCTTTATTTCAGTTACCCGTCGCTGACCCGTTTTTGGAAAAAGTCAGTTTATCTGATTTGGGTGAGTGGTCATTGAAAATAATGTATATTTAATACAAGTGTATACAACATGCAGGCTTACACACATGCACATACACACATATAGTGACAGTTTATATTTTCCTGTGTAAATAAACTAACCAGTAAAGCCAAATAATATACGGATCTCTATATAGTGCCGATATAAATAGCTGTCGGTCACAGCGAAAATAGTTTATGCAGTGGATGGACCTAAATCTTTTGCGTCGAATCAATATTTTTCTATAAAACTAGTAGCTTAAGACGTTAAATATTTCGCCTATAAATAAAATAATAATAATGATTATAAATCGATATTATTTAGCATATATTATTTTTAGGACGTCTTATCATTATCAACAAGCTAAAACGTCTACCACAAATATATAAATGAAGCGCTACTTTTGCAGATAAAATATTTCAAATTATCCGGTCTGGCAACATTATAAAATACTTATGAAGTCACGTTTTCCTTTACTGTAAAGCAAAATGTATATTGTCTGTTCAAGGATTTGTAAATAAAGTATTTTATTTATTAAGCTTTTCAATTTGATTATTAATTTTAATTAAACAAATATTTATTTTTATATTTTAAATATTTTCTTACTACTATGTTGTTAAATAGGACGCTGTATTTATTATCTGTCGCGTCTGTCGACTATATGATTGTGTGTAAACGTTTACAACAACTTTGATGCTATTAACTCGGCTTTTTTATCTACTTCAATAGTGTAACGTGTTATTCATATTGTTATTAGTGGTTAGTGTTTAAACTGGTATTTAAACCTTTTATTCAGAATCATAGTTTGAATTTTTTTTCAAACGTTTAATTAAAATGCGTTATCAATGTACATATGATAGGTTAGAGTTTTCTAAAGGTATGTTTGTGATATCCTTATGAAGTAATTTTTTTTTATTATAATCACTTGTATACATGTCTTATAGATTTTTATATTTTATTTATTTAATATACATTAAAACAATACAGTTGCTTAAACACGTTTTCTATAACATTAGTTTAAGATTAAATCCTAGTTACTATCGTAGCAATAGGCATTTAAAGTAAATTTATTTATATCAGTCGGATATATGTATCTTTTATTATCAGATTGATACAAAGGTCGTAAACATTGTGTACAAACGTAGACTTGTTTTGTTCTGAATCTTTAAGGTCGACTGCATCAAAGATTTGAGCTATCAGTGACATTAGGTAGATTCTTGATTAGTCCCTATATGTTTTACTTTTTCGTTTTTGTATTTTCAAGTACTAAAGTTTTTATTTTGGTAGATCCGTGTTAAATTTCTCGAAAATGATTTGATTACTGTACAATAAAAATGTAAAATGTTGTGGTTGTTGTGCGATACACACCTGCACGAGTTCAAATAACACATGTTTACTGTATTGTCGTTGTGAATAACTTTAGTGACACTGAGTGTGTGATATACTTGGATCAGGTGAAGACTATATTTAGCGTATGGAAACATACACATAACAGTAGAGGTTCGTCGATCGGGTACGTTGTAGTCTCGTCGGTCCAGCACTGCGGGTTGGGCGTGGGCCCAGTCGGTGTTACAGTCGCTAGTGTATAATTAGCAGTTAGCGGTGGGAGGCGGCGGGCGATGCGCCGCCGTGCGCATGCTGCGCCTACACTACTACTCGGACAATCCCGCCCTCGTGGTCGAATGTGAAGAGGAGTCCGTGTACGCCATCGAACTCATCAAGGAATTTGAGGAAGTCGGCCGAGCGTGGAAAGCATTCCTTGCCGACTGGCTGATAAAAGGTGTTAGCTTGTTTATGTCACCCACGCTGCGTCCGCTTCTCCCTTGACGCGCCTTTTGGCGTTTATTTCATTTCGGTTTTACTATTCTCTTTGTCGAAATGTGTTATAAACAACGTGCTAAAATTTGTTTATAGGTAGATTGTTGTGTTTGGGTATGAAAAAGTATTTACTTCGTGTACTAATGTACACAAGTACATATTATGTGCTATTGATATTTTTAGATGATATTTTTGCATAATGAGATATTAATTTTCCTTGTCTGTTGGTTATCGTAGCGAGAGCCAACCATCCATTTATAATTCAAGCCGAACTATTTCCTCTCCTCTGATCTGTTTCATCTAGATTTATTCTTACGTCATTCGAGGTTCTAGATGACGTCACCTCATGACCTTAACAGCTATGTGGTTAGTATTGAAGGTAAATCTACATAATAGAAATTTCAGTAACATTCGCAATTTCGTTGTGATTAAAATAATTTAAAAATTTTAGACATATTGAACCAAACATAGACAGGTTAAATAATAATTATTATAAATGACTTAGAAAGAAAAATATATTTTTCTGCCAATTGTAATAGCTCAGTGACAACAAAACTATGTTAAAAATGTGTTGCTTTTTAGTTGAATTCAATATTTATTTACGATATTACGATAGTATTAATGGTTCAAATCTGCTTCAAAGCTTATTAATTATTATGCAAACTTCCATCGATTGCAGCAGAAGTGAAACAAAGTATATAAAATTGGTATAAAACTATTTCAATATAAAAATTACGAATGTCTGTTACCTATTAACAGAAGCGTTGCAAATTGTTGTTGTTATTTGTTGTTCGTTGTTGTTTTTAATCAAAGTAAATTTTTCAATAACACTACAATTGTTCTGCCTATATTTGTTTTTTTAATTCTAAATTAATTTGTGTAATTATTCTTTATAGCTTCAATTATAGTATATATACATACATACACACACACACACACACATATATATATATATATATATATACTACTTCAATCGTCTGTAATATATAAATGGTAATTTATGCTCCACTGTCGTTATTTACGTTAGGTAATTAAAGAAAACGAACATGATTTATGTTGATTAAATTGCTACTTTAGATTTTTATGATTTTTTTTATTGTTATATCTGAGTAAAGTTTCATACAAAATATACATTATAAACTCCATCCTATAGAGTCGTGATAAACCGTTCAAATATGAAATTTAATATTTAGAAACAGAATAAATGTCAAGTAACTAAAACATTATACTGAATCAAATTGCTTCAATTAAATAAATCCTTTTCAATTGTTCTACACGTTCACATTTCATTTTGCTCTTGATAAATGATGTTATTAAGCAAGGATTCTCTATTAAGGCTCAGTTATCACTATATAATTTACAATTTCGTTCATACTAGTGGTGGCATATTAAGCTAGGGAAAGGAATTGCACTATTCATCACGTCAAATGGTATGCTGTCCGAGCTATATCTAAAATAGAGTATAATTTTTCAGAGCTTTGATTGCACGGCCAAGATTGGCGGCTATGATGATTGGCACTTAACATATCTAGCTTTTTGTGTATCCAATACAATAGGAACTTCAAGGATTCGCTTGCGTGTACTGTACTTTTTGTATCTTAAACGTCAATTTTTTGTTTTGTAACATTTCATTTTACATTGAGTCAACTGTTATGTATTATATTAATATGATGATATTGATATAGGGGACATTTAAATTTATAAAACTTCTTTGTGAATCATTGAATTTACTATGTGTTGCAAAATAATTTTACATACAATAGGTACCCATTTGGCGGTAATAGTATTTATTATTTATGATATTTTAAAAATAAAATTAAAGAAATAGAACCATCATTAAAAAATATTATTTAAGCAACACAACTTTATATTGTCACAAAATTTGTATCTACTTGTTCAGACTAAGATTGCGGTATATTGTTTTTACATAAAGTTTTGTTTTGAGTAAATTCCAAGTTTTTAGTTTTTATTCTATAAATATCTGAAGATTCAAATTAAGTTTTAAGAGAGAGAGATATTAATGGTCCATTCAAAACTTGCATAGTTTGCTTTATATTTTGAATTTTTATGTTTCTAGACAAGCAACTTTAATAAAAAGCTGTATCCTACGTTTAATATAATAACTGCACCGTTGTTAAATTTCTGAGGTTTAAGCGAAATGTTTATTGGAATATCAATTTTAGAATTAATTTAACTTTGTTCAGAGAACTGAATAGTTTTAAAATAAACACAATTATGAGTTGTGCTCAAATACAACAAAACAATGTATAAATTGTATTTGTATTAATAACGAATAGTTCAACGTTTTTTTTTTTTTCAATTTCAGGAAATATATTTTGAATATCATGATAATTCTAATTATATCTTTAAAATTATTAATATTTTATACTTTACAAACTTCATCGGATCCTATTTTATTTTAGATTATTTTTACTTTTATAGCATTGGCTAAGATATTATATTTGGCTATAGTACGTACCTATTAAATTTCAGTTTAATTAAGCACTGAATGTTTTTTCACAATCCTTTTATGTCCTATCCTTACCTAAACACTGATGGCGGTAACGTAATGTTCATAAATCTTTGGCATAATAGAAGCGGTGACCTCGTACTATGCACACAATATTCAAACACACTTACAGAGGTGAGCTAGCTCGGTTCGCAAACAATTTCAATATACGTACGTATAAATTGGATTATAACGATCTAATAGCTAAATCTTAACTACAAATACAAGTAATACATATACAGCTAGGTCTGAACTCATTGCCAAATTTAACAGTTTCCTGTAATCAATAATGTGAAACATTATTTTTTTCAGAGGAAGATGAATCACAGATATTCGTGAAGTTTTTCAAGTTTCACAAATGCTATGATCTCATTCCGACCTCAGCCAAGCTGGTGGTGTTTGATACCCAGCTTCTTGTCAAGAAAGCGTTCTTCGCACTCGTCTATAACGGTAAGTTATAATGATATATTATATTGTTGCTGCTTAACTTATTGGAGCCTTTTATTTTAATAACAGCGTAAATCTGTGATTTTATGATCTTAGTTATAACCGAACGGTTTTACTGTCGCTTTTTATGTATAGGTACATAAAGTCGTAACTATACTGAGCTCAAATATAATGGGAGACATTATATATATGGTGATCGTTCCTATCATTGGCACTTTTCCAGTTATTGGCACATTAGAGTTTAAATAATGAAAAAAGGAGTGGATGATTCAAGGCCGTTGTACGAAATTATAAAAAGTATTTTGATCTATTTACATTACGTAAATAATCTCGTTTTGTTAATTTAACAATATGTTTTGGTCTTGATATTTTATGTTATTTGTAATGTAATTAAACAAATTCTTACTGTATTATATATAGGTAATTAGATGAGAAATATATTTAACAGTTTTGGTGAAATATTATATCTTCTTCTTCTTATATATATAAAAATGGATTGCTGTTCCATAGTCTCGCTAAAACTCGAGAACAGCTGAACGGATTTATCTTATCTTAGTCTTGAAATGTTCGTGGAGGTTCAGGGAAGGTATAAAAGCTGAAAAAAATTGATTGATTACTGGGAAAACCATAAAAACAGCCCTTTTCTATTTCCCATACAAACGGTTTTTTGACATTAGATTTGACAACTAACTAATATGTCAATCATTCTGTTCGATTGAAACAGGAGAAACCTGATTATTAATGGCCTCTAAAACCGAATAGAGTTCGCCCGGTCAGCTATACATACATATATTAGTAATGACGAAACTAACGCAGACGAAGTCGCGGGCAAAAACTAGTATTTAATAAATTTATTGGGTGTAGAATAAGTAGGTTTAACATTTCGTGCTTGCAGACAGTTTTTAATATATTCCCCATACTAGTTATAATAACACAATAAAAGCATAACTAATGGAAAAAGCGCTAACTATAAGATTATTATAATTGATAACACTATCTATTTATTTCGAATTACTATTTTGAAAGTAATTTTAACATGTTACTACGCTTATTATACATGCAACTTGTTTTTAAACAAACTTGCTCGTTTTAACTTATTTGAAATGAAAACTATAACAATACTAATACACTGCACAATGTTTTTTCATGTTAATTAAATAAGTTATTAATTCTTTCTTCTACTCGCTGAGAAGAAACAATAAAACTACAATAAGTAGAAATGCTAATTACATCTGACGAGATCAAGGCCAAAGTTAAAATAATTAAAACTTTGCAATTGAAAAATGTAGAGCGAGAGTAAAGTAAAAAATATATTGGTTAAATCTAAACAAAGGAAAAGAGTAAAACAAATTATTCAACGCTGACCAACTATACAAGTGTAATTTATAAGTTTTTATAATTTGCATTGTTCAAACGTTTTCATTTTTCACCTAAATTTAGGTTTCGTCTAATCATTTAAATTTTTTTAAATTATGAATTTCAAAATTTTAATGCAACGGTATTTGATATTTCTTATGGTACCGTTGCATTATAAACGTTGTCGATTCTATTACTGCAAATTCGTTTATTTTCAAAGGCAGCGCTTTCATGATTAGGTTGTTGTAATTTGATATCCGGGTCGAGAATGTTGCAATCACTATACCTACATGCCATTATATTATACAGTTGATGTAATAAGCTACGTGTGTCACCTGTCACTGTTTATATTTATTTTTAATCATCACGTAACCTAATGGATTAAATCTTTATCGACATGTAATGGAATGGAATTAAATTCTTCTATTTGATTTGATAAATAGAATTCATTAGTAAAGATACTTGCATCCGTTCATCAGTCTACTGGTTTCTATTCAAACCCCTATTGAAACTATCGCCTTGTTCTATTCAATTGTCGATAGCAATCCACTAACTGCGGGAACCTATATGTTTTTATGTGGTTCGAGTGATGGGCTTTTTATTTTTATCAAACTGAATATTATTTTATATGTTATAGGTCTCTTTGTGGGAATTTATTTATATTATTTTTTTTCTCTATAATTCTAGCTGCTTGCGAGTTTGCTTAAGCGTTATTTAGTGAATAAATAGTATGATATTATATATGTTTATATAGCACTCTACAAAATGCGAATGTCTATTTTGCTGTTGCTAATTTACATTCTAATTAAATAATTTTGTTAACTCAGCAGTTGCGATGATCAACAATTATATGTTTAAAGTTTAAAATGCATTTTTTTAATGTGCTAAAGCAATCGTTGGGCACTTGAAACGAACTCGCTAAGCGGTTTTGCGATTTACATACATTAAATTTGAGGATCATAATTTTTTAAACGATAAATATTTAAATATATTTTGGTGTATTTATCGCAGCTCTCACTTGTCGTCACCAAGCGGCTCCGTAAGAAACAATACACCAGATGCCGTGGGAACTAAGGTGTTTGTCAATACAACTCATATTTCTTAAATTTCATTTTAAGGCTAAGTACCTACCTACAGTTTTTAATACCGTATAAAACTACGTTACTATAATATTATAAAGTGATTATGATCAATGAAATAGCGTTTCGTATTTCATCTTATGGCCCAAATAAACTGATCCAACCATTATTATTTGTAAATGAATAGTATAATTTAGTTACATTTTAGAATTGCATTCTCCACTGCATTTGGGTATGGTATATGTATTGTTTCTTGCGGATGTTGCACACATTGCGTAATCGACGATGACGTCATAATGTAATTGTCATACTTATAATGTTGCATTTGAAATATATGATATTGTCAGATCTTAAAACAAAACGTAACAAAACAATTTTATATATAACACAACATTGATCCAATTGTTTTATTCACAGTGGAGATTTGCAATGATCGAATCTTTCAAAGAGATATGTTTGATTTTTTATTGTATTCAAAATTCTTTCCACTCAGCAGCAACACTTTTATTTTGAATTACATGATGTCAATGAGTTTTAATACATCATGTATTGTTAATGCAAGTAAAATAATAATATGTTAATAGTCCCTGAACATTGTTTGTGTTCTTATTATTGTGTTAGTAAAATTACGCCACTATCTTTTATAGCGTTACTACAATTAAATCAGCAAATAATAAAATTCATTAAATGATAACTGTAACCTTCATTTCGTACATGGTAATGGTAAACAAAAATACATTAACGGTGTCATAGCACACAATAAAAGGAGCTGTTTTTTAAAGAATTAAATATATATCTTGTAATTATATTACTATTGCAGACGAATAGGTTGTTTTTTATATATATATTAGTTTATGAATAGCGTTCAATTTTAGATGAAATTTTACATGACCGATTTTAATTATTCGATTCTTTTGAATACAAAAAGATGGCTTAAGTTGTTGGTCAATCAATAAATCATATTTAAAATATTGTAATAGTTATACAATTGGAATTCAACTATCTAACTCAGGAATACGATGAAATAATATTCTTGTAATAAATGTTCATAATACATTTATTTGACTATATATGGAAATGAAAAAGTAAAAAAATCTTAACAATTTATTGGATCGTACTGACGGTTATTAATCCGACCCACTAAGGTGTCAAAGAATTAACTCTTATTCAGTTGATTAATCTAATTCAAGAGAATATTTCAAGTGTTTCGTCCCTGAACTGATAGTATCATACGTGATCGCGATGTAGTTTTTCGTGCACACAAGATATGTAGGTGGTTAATAATGTCAACGACGAATTATGTTACAAGCAATAAATAACAAAACCTGTTTGCCAAAGTAAGTTTGTTTTTCTGTTTGCTAACTCGCGTTGAACTTTAGACTATGATGTTTACTACTATAGAGTATTACATTATATATAACCTTGTGTAATATTTAGCATGTGCGATCTCACAAACAAAAACTTGTGAAAATACCTTTATGACTACAATTTGTTGTTAAAACTAAAACTTAAAACTACAATTAATTAAAATATTTGCTCTACTGCAACCGAAATTTATATTTAATATTATCGTATATAATTATTTTTATAAATTCTTTTTTATCAATTATATATCTTTCCCATGACGCATTCTAAATATTGTCTGTAATTGAAGGTCCGTGGGAGTAAAGAACGAAAGTAGTCGTAGAATATTGATCTTTTTAATGGTTACTCAATTATCGTTTTGGTGTAAATATAAATCTTTGAAATACTGTTTATGATTTGTAAAAATTTAATAATTTTACATATTCTTTATAAACGTACTAGGGCCAAGGGTTCGATCAAAATATTATGAATTTGTGGTTTACCATACATATTATGTTTTTAGTGGACATATTTTGTTACTTAATATTATAGATCTGTATAATGTGGAGGAATATTGTGACTTGTGTATAATCTAATTCTATTGTTGTCTATTTTGTGAAGGTGTGCGAGCAGCTCCGCTATGGGATTCCCAGCGTCAGAGGTTCGTTGGTATGCTGACCATCACAGACTTCATCAAAATCCTTCAGATGTACTACACGAGTCCAAATGTTACAATGGACGAATTAGAGGAACATCGCCTCGAGACTTGGAGACGTAAGTTGTGTAACTATGATATAAGATATCTATTCTTAGAATAAATAAACGTTGAACTATATATAGTCTGAAACATAATGGCAAATGTTAAGTTCATTGTAGCGTCAACATTTAAAACACTTAAATTTAAAACGAAATATTCATTTTTGTCATTTTACACACATATTGTAGTAAATTTCCTTTTGAAAATGTTGTGATAAACGAATAAAATTAAGCAATTAACATCTAACTCAGATATTAAATTTATGTTGATGAATTAATAAAGTTAAATCGAAGTCTCTTATTACGTTTAGAGATAATAATATCGATGTTTGATAATAGTGTTCTATTTACAATGTTCGAAGATCATTAGATTGTGTTCAGCTTCTATGGTTTGTTGATGGACTGAGGTAATATTGTCGTTCCACATTGTATTCAATTATGTTAACGTTATTATAATAATTGCTTACTGACATTATTGAACACTGAGTAGTTTATATACAATGTTATTTTATCCTTAAATGTATGCTATCTTAAGTAAACACAATATTTCCTTTCCATAGTTTTATAATAATAAACTGTTTTTTTCTCTTTATTACACCGAGTTCATTGACAGTGACTATTTTGTAATATGTTAACGATTAATGAATACCGAATTCTTGACAAATTGCATTTTTATTTTTCAAATCAGCGTATAAATTGTTCGTTTATATTGTCAGCCTTAAAGAGGTTAGTCATAGATGTTGTTATTGTCTTGTTATAATTTATTTAAAGAATATTCATTTACTTTGCATTAAGATTTACGCGTCCTACATTGGACCAGAACTCGTTTGAGTCACGAAAATAGTTTACTTTCATGAAATCTCTTTGTCTCTCTTAATATTACTTTCTGAAAGTAACCAAGATCACCTATTTTTAATACGTTTTGTTGGATAATTGCATCATAAGCATGTTTCAAAATCAATAGTTATTTTCATTCAATATTGCAGTATCACATTGTATTGTTGTTTAGTGATTGAATTATATTGAGGCTCTAAAAGTTTTCTTTCTTCTCTATTTATTAGAAAAACTGTAAAGACTCGTCTCAAAGAAAAAAAATTGTATATATTCTTTAATTTCCAAAAATTATTAAAACATGTTTATTCATAAACCTCTTAAAAATCTATGATATAATTTCTCTATACTTCAACAAGTAGTTGAGATCCCAGTTGGTTTGTGTATAAATAGTAGTATTTGTCCTAAGCTATCTGAATCGTTTAACGGCGGCTGTGTAAACAACTCGTTTGCATTTGTGTTTACTCTTATCGGATTCAAGTGAGATTTGCGATGTAGTTTTTGTAGGCAGAAGAGTTAAACGATTTTTGTTTAATCATGAGAACGAAATATATCTTAAATAGTAAAGTCTAGATGAATATCCTAGTAATTAATAAAATATATAAAATTAATACATTCTATATTATAATAATATGTTATGTGATATTGATAAATTTTCATGTTTCTATATACTTGCAGAGGTCCTGAAGGGTTCTGTGATGCCTCTAGTATCAATAGGTCCGGACTCGTCTCTGTATGACGCCATCAAAATGTTAATAACTAACCGAATTCATCGTCTGCCGGTCATTGACCCCGACACCGGCAACGTACTCTATATACTCACCCACAAGAGAATACTCCGTTTTCTTTTCTTATATGTAAGTACAAAAATAAATTAGTATCATTACAAAATTTACATCTCTATTGTTACAAATAAATATTTAAATAATTATTTCCCATGTTATAATCCGAAAATTCAAATCGCTTATTTTAAACGTAATATTTTTTCGGAAAACTTTTCGGCTTTAAATTATAATTATAATAAGTTCTATCTTTAAATTATTCTCGTTTTAATATTAGCAATGCGTATATAAACATATTATATAATTGGCGCTGGTTAATATATGCTACGTCCAGCCAGACGTTAAAGATTGCTTCTCGTTACTTTACCGAGTCATGACTCACAACTATATATAACTCGCATATTGAGGGTTGATCTGAATTGTTTGTTCATCCTTAGTAATTAATAATATAATTATATATTCCAGATCAATGAGTTGCCAAAGCCGTCTTACCTACAATGTAAGCTACGTGACCTTCGCATAGGGACCCTTAATGACATCGAGACAGCCACAGAGGACACCTCAATAATACAAGCGTTGAGGAAGTTTGTCAACAGACGAGTGTCGGCGTTACCGCTTATAGATTCCGAAGGCCGCCTCAAGGATATATACGCGAAATTCGATGTCATTGTGAGTATTTATAATTATCACCCAACAAAATTCAATATTAAGAAATTACACTCAACGAAAAATTTTGTAAAAGAACTGTTAACACAACTTCGTCTGCCTTTAAATAGTTTTAAAATTCTTATTAATAAAAATTGTCTATGTCAGTATTTATAATATCAGGTATCAAAAGTTTTGGAGATTTGATGGAACGAATAGATATTAAAATTTTATTATTTTTTATACTGACAGCTCAAAGCTTTAAATCATCCTGACGGCTCAAGTCCGTTAAATTTCATAGAATTTCTAACTACTGAAGAAAAATTTTTAATGTTCTTACTCGAATTTTGTTCTAAACTACGACTTAAGATTTTGTAAGAAAAATAATGCATCATCGTATTGTAGAAAGTGACTCTTTGTGGAAAAAACAAAGTCCTAATTTCATATACATATTTTTATTTATGATAATATCATTTGTATTTCCCGAAATAGAAAAATTGGTACTACATTCGTTATCAGAAGCATTTGACAATTAGAGAACTAGATTAATAAATGACAATAGCATATTATTCCATATAACAGTGATAATAGGAACAATGCTTAAATATACAAACAATTGAAATGAATACTGAACTCACACCTGGTAAATTAAATGGGGACATTCAACAAATGTATGTCTCCTACGAATAAAGATTTTATATAAATAACTTTTGTTTTTATATATATTACAGAATCTGGCCGCTGAGAAAACATACAACAACCTAGACGTGTCTCTAAAGAAGGCCAACGAACATCGCAATGAATGGTTCGAGGGTGTTCAGAAATGTAATCTGGACGAGACGTTGTACGAAGTCATGGAGAGAATTGTACGGGCTGAGGTTAGTTTAATATAAAATACATTGCTATCTTAATAATAAGGTAGAGTCCCATCAAACATGAGATGGTAGTATGACACTTTTACACTGACATAATATCCAAAGAGATTTTGTTGCAAGTAATATCTACATACTATAATAAATATTATATTCACTACTATTAAATATCAAGAGGAATGTTTAATGACAGATTGACGGCTGGAATTAAAAGAGTTTTGGTAGATGTTTGAAAAGAAAAATATATGTATCTTGTTGTGATACGAAGAGTATATTAGTTTAAGATCTTGAATATGCCAAAAATTGCTTTGTTGGCTATTAAACAGATAATATTTATTTTTTTGTTTAATTCTCATATTGTTGTATAATCAGTGCTCTGTAAAAACATTTAAGCTTAAACGTTGTATTGGAACTACTTACAATTATTGCAGTTAATTAAATACGTTAGAAGAAGTATAATAACAAGAAAGAGGAAAAAAATCATATTGGAATAGATTGTATAAGACATATAAAAACAGAGAATAAAAAAATACCTTTAAAGATTTATACGCTATTAGAATAATTAATTACTCATATCTGTTACTCATAGAAAATGAATACTATATATTTTATTCAATTACCTAAACACATTGTTTTCAAAGCATTAAATAAGCTCTAGCTATATTTATTATTTATTTGGCTTAATGCTCTAAAGTATTGTTACTTGTATTGCATTTTTTATTTCTATTAAGGAAAATAATTTATTTACATATGAACTAAATATTAGGCACACGTACTCGTAGACAATTGTTTATTTTTTACAAATCCAGCTTAGAATAATTGATATTTAAATTTAAATATGTTCATTTAATATTATCTGTCTACCGTAAATTTATTATTTTATTCACAATTACGATATTTTCATCGTAATACCAATATACATTAGACTAAATAGTAGGCAATCAATCCATCTTTTCCTTTTCACTGCATATGTATGCTTTGTTACTAAAACAAGAATATTTGTTCGTATTATATATTTAGTTTCACTGTATTCAGGAGAGCTATAGAATTTCAAAAGTTTAATATATATCTAAAACTATATTATTATTTTGTTAATAGTTTATGTAATACGTGTTTTGATATAATATTTGTATATATTACAGGTACATCGTCTCGTGGTTGTCAACGAAGATGATAAAGTGACGGGTATAATATCATTGTCCGATTTGTTGATGTATTTAGTGTTACGTCCGACCGGTGACTGTGAGGGCGCCAGTCTTAGGAACGAGCACGGACCCATTGAAGAGAAAGATGAGACTACCAACACGGAAGACAAACCGACTGACGAAGATAACAAACTCATCACTACTGACACAGAGAACAACCAGCATGAGTGCCAACATTAAAAAAATAATCAAACAAACTGAGTGCCAACGTTGAAATAATGTGTTTTGTTTTAACTCAGGCTTGACTACGATCTATGTGGAGTATAAATTGTTTTTATTGATTTCTCCATCAATTTACTTATATTGATGTCGTAGATGATCTTTCCGTGTTTCATACACGCTAAAGCGTTCTATTTTATATTCCACTTTATTGTACTGTGTATTTTTTTTTTCGGTATGTCCGTAAATCATGATGTTATTTTTTTATTTCAATTTGTGGTTGATATCAGAATGTCAGTAGCGATAGTTAATAATAATATAGTTTTTTTATAGAAATCCAAAGTGAAGCTCCTTCGATATACAAATTTTTATCTAAGAATATTTTATAGATTGTTTTTTCTTATTTTATGATGACTTGTATATTTGGAATATTTTCTTTTTCTACTAATATTACCTACAATTTTGACTTTAGTATAGGTTTATTTTTAATACATATATATATTAGATGACGAGGTAAAATTCCAAGTTATAATTTTATTAACTTACTTGAAATGACGTTGTATTTTTTAACATATATATTAAAAGTATAATGTAGACTCATCGTATACAATACGTTGTAAATGTTCTTCTTAACAAAACGCATATAAATAACTTTGAAACGTGTAGTTAGGTACTAGAGTATGTAATATGAATTACTTAGAACTTTATCGTAACTGATAATAATCGTAGGGATGTTATAACGTTTGACGGTTTCCTTCTTGAACTTTAGTTTTTTCGGTGTATCGAATATTTGAAAAATATATTTTTGATATCTTATGAAATATTCAAAATCATGTTTAATCTTTATTAAAACATATGAATTGATGCAGACGTTTGTATTCTAAGGGAAATTAACTTAAAGTATCAAAATGTTTTATAATACAAACCGTGTGCGTCGTTTCATTGTGCATATCTTTAAATGTATTTCTTAACATATCCGTGTAACTAAAGTGAGGGTACGGTCAGAGCTTCAGAGCGCTGCAAGTATTATGAAAATGTGTTATTAATTTATGTGTAGTTTAGGTTTAGCGATAACTTCCAATTAATGTTGTACTATTTTTGCGTTTTTCCATCCGTGGTTGAATTTTCACCACCGTATGTTTAATGGAAATATAAAACGCACATCATATGAAGACTATCAAATAAAACTCGGTACCGTGTCTCTGTTTGTTTTAATTTGTTGAAGGATAAATAAAAGTCACGATAGTTTGTTAAACATTCTATTACAGTTGATTAAACTCATATAGTTTACATATCACAAAAATTAGTTCCGAATCATAGCAGCTATTACATGCATTCAATTTCTCATTGGTCCGAAAACGTTACCATAAGTCTAATTTTTAAATTTTAATAAGAAACTTTATCCATAACACACCCTTTTTATGTTCTCCAAACCCTACATGTTTATATAATGAAGATAATTACGATAAAGACCAAAATTATTAGCCATATTATATGAAGATCAAGTTGTCTCCAATATTTTTGTATTCTTTATTATCTTGCTTGACATTATTTAATAATTATCGTAATGTTGTCTGGTTTTTTAATCCAAATTAACATTTTTAATCTTAGCAACTCACTCGAAACACACAAACACTCGACCCTAATAAAGTGTTGGCAACGTCTGTCAAGGACACAGTATATATTATATCATTTCTTCAAAACATCTTTTTGTCATTTACTTTTAAGTCCCGTTTTTCCAATTAGTTCTTAGTTCTTGTTTTGTCGTAATCAACCCTAATAAGAAATGTGCCACATAACGTTATATGCCAACTTCTTTATCTATACATCATAATATACCATCAGCGCGAACTTGTCATTAATAAGACTTCATCGGATAGAGATATAAGGACCTTTTATGGTAAACTGTAATTTTTCTTCAGGTAAAAACCCTTGTTCTCTAGTCACAATTACATGGAAGGCTGTTAATTTTTTAAATCTCTGAGAATTTCTTTTCCACTTTGAGCAGAGTTTCTTCGCTGATGATATCAAATATGCTGCAGTGATTCGGAACAGAAACAGCGGGCAGAAAGATCTGCAGGAAGTTACAACATCGGGAATAGCAGTAACAGTAACTTATGCTAACACATCAATAATAATAATTATCATAGTAACTATTGCAAAAAGCTGCCTTCTGTAACATACAGAAGAAATATTCAAAGTTGCACCCGGAAACTGATTCGCCAATAATTTTTTTTAGTTCTCAGCCTTTACTACAGAAAAAGTCGCAATATTTCATTTTAATTTTAGCTCAAAGATCTAAAACGGTAATTTGTTACTTTTTGTTTCGATGAAATTTCATGATTAGTAATTAGTTACAGAAGGGGCTGCATAGTGTGCAAAGAAATATTTATGGCCACGTGTTGTATATTTGTTAACGGAATGTAAGATTTTAATATGAATATACTAAAATTTATTTCTTTCCGAATGATCATCTTATTGGTTTGCAATTACGAAGCTGCCTTATTCTTTATACCTCGTCAACATATTTCCTTGCATCAATATTGAATGCATGGTTCTCTACTCTAAAGACATTAGAAAGTAGAAGGTTCAGAATTTTTCATTTAAGATGTTGATACAGATGTTTTGGTATTTAATTACAACCAATGATGAACAATATAACTGATAAAATAATAGAACCTTACTTTTGAATTTTATTAATAAATTGGTTTGAACAAATCAAACCAAGTTTAGCTGAACGTGGACATAAAGTATTTCCGAACTGTATATTAAGTTGCACTCGGTGATGTGTGTTATTATTATTAGACATCGAATTGATTATATATCCTTACATCTAAGTACATAAATAACAACAGGGGTTAAGTAAATCTAACTAGATCTTAAAACATAATAACAATAATAACTAATACTAACTACTTGTAAAATAAAAATAATTTTTAAAATATCTAACAAAATATCGAAGCATATTTCAATAATATTAAAGAAAATTAATAAAAATATCACGGACACGGATCAAATATAATGACTAGACAAATTGCGCTCATAGGCGTATTGAATTGAGATTGAGATACTTATACATACATGGGGTTTATGTTTCGAGATGTTACTTTAATTGTGCAAAAATTGGACTGGATATTGTTCCAATGTGCTGTAATTTTTTTGTCTTAGATTACGTACGCCATAGTGACTTTGTCTCTTCGGGATGTATTTAATTTGACATTGGAATAAGCCCTACTTTTAAATGGTCATTTATTTAAGCAGTTTTACTGTTAAATATATCTCATATTTTATGTTGATTAGTTATAGTTTCGTATCTCAACCTCAATATAAACGATATAGTAACACCCAATTACACTGGTTACTAATATCGACAATGAGAAGTTACGAAAAGATTTCCTATATACTTGAATCTATACACTAACATGAATACATAATACAAACAGCCAATGGCTGAATACAGTCGCTGATTGGTAATAGAAAGAGCTCAGATATGAACTCTTACCTATGTACTACCATAAATTCTGTGAGATTATTACCACTTCCACGCGACAGGTTTTAAATTATGTTTATTTTCGGATGGCCAAGGTAAGCCAATCACTGAATCGAGAATTAACGTAAATTAGTAGAATTGCTTAGCGTTTTTCTTAATCAAATTCTAGAGGTTTCATTAGCGTTATTTTGCATTATCCGTAAAAAATTTTAAGGCCATCACATTTTTTTGTTCTACGTTCTTAAAAAGACATTTCGATAGGAAATGTCAAAGAGATTACTCTTTATTTAAAAAAATTATCTTTATTCTACTACTTTCAAAAGCTTACCTTTATATATTTTATTAAAACAACAACAATTTGCAGTTTTCACCTTAATGACGTCACGATTTTAAAATGAGTCATCCGCCGAGTAAAGCCTTGCCCTATTTTTGATTGTAAAAAATCAAGTGTTAGAATCTAAGAAGGTGTTATTTTTTTGGAATAATTACCCATATATGATATACAGTAGAAAAATAAAAATTGTTATATAAGCAACAGTAGTAGTGAATGTTAAATATGTCGGGATTAAAACACTTTTTATTATTGCTGCTTAAATAGGTGATTGAGTTTTTGAAAAGTGCAACATAAAATAGTAAAGATCTCCTGTTATTTTAAAGCGTTTTTTGGCGACATATTTTTCTGCTAGTAAACCTAAATGAGGTTTTTAACCATTCAAGTTCTTTGCTTATAACAGTTAAGACGTTTCATAAACATTACGTTAAGAATTGTATAAATATTACATAAAATATCACATTTGAGAAAGTAGTTGAGAAAAACAAGTAACAAATATAATTAATTATTAAAGAGAACGTAAGTATAAAACCAGTAAGTACAATTACAGCTTATAAAATAAGTATAAAGTAGAAAATTTAATTCCCTGATGCTAAAGAGTTCTCAAAGAGCAAATTTCAAAAGAAATTCATTTGATATGTTTCGAGGTTCCAGATCTTTGTTTTATCCTTAGTTTTATTAGAATAGACGAGAAAATATAGATTATTTAAAACATAAATTTCTCTTGTTACTATTGTATAAAGATCGAGGTTGTGAAATATAAAGGGTAAATACTTTTATATATAGAACATATCTTTTTTAAATAAATATAGTAATTCAGAAATCTTGTTTAAAAATATAGCATCTGGAAATATAGTAAATAGGTTATAAGTATTTGAAGGACTATTTGATATGACAATTTTAACGCATACATTAAAAGGTAGGGTTGAATATGTAAAATATAGAACTTAATGATAACGTAATAAATTACAACCAACCTAAAGTTCGCATTGTTATCAATAAATAAAATTATATTGAACGCAGTGGTATTAGGGAAAAATTAAACAATTAGAAATAAATGTACAATCTACAAATATCCAACCGTTTTGTAAATGCAATACCGTGTTTTGTTAAAATAAAAAACCTGTAACTAAAATATAAGTAAGACGCAGAGTCGGTGGTGATCAGGTTTAGTTGTCCCATGAGTCGTAAGTAACATCGGGGTATGCCCAGGGTGGTCGCCGTGAGGTGTGGCTGGTTGTTCTGTTGGTCCGTTCGTTGTAGCTGTAATACATATATGTATATATTTAGATGTCTCTGCTAATTACTGATAAGATTACTGTAAAGTTATTAAATTTGTGTATTTTGTTCTAAAAACTTGCCGCGATTCGACTTGGACGTAGGAAGAACAGTCGATGGTACCGCGAGTCGATTGGACAGGCTCCAAGTCAGCAACGTGCCAAGCAAGCAGAGGGTCGTTCATTCTATAATATTTCAACAGTTTTTAGTATGCATAGCAGGAAAAAACATAAATGGCCATACGCTTTCTTTCGTTTATATAACCTGTGAATATCCGATGGACCGGCAAAATGCTACGATTTGGACAAATGTGTTTTTATACTAGTATACTAATTACTGACGTGTCATACAGTTTAGAGCCGTCTCCTTCGAAGATGTTCCTGTCGCCAGTGGTGGTGGGTTGTTGTGGTCCTGGTGGGATGGTGGTACGGTCCAGGGGATTGGGAGACATTGGGGTAGCGGATTGAGCCTGTGGGGGGTTCGTCTCCAGAGTAGAGTTCTTGATTCCGTACTTGAAGTAGATTATCATGCCTGGATACATTTAAAAAGAAATATTTCATTTTGAAATACCATTACGCCGGTCTGATCACTATAGGTAAGACTATCCAAAAATGTAATTAACACTTACCGATAATCATCCAAATCGTGAAGCGAACAAGGGTCAGAATAGAGAGGTTTAGAATTAAGTAGATGTTAACGGTGATAGCAATTGCTGGGACGAAAGGTAGCCCGGGAGTTGCGTAGATAAGATTAGTTCTGTAATATATACATAGGTGTGTAAAAAGATAAAAATGATGCCATCTTTCATACTTTATCAAATAAAAAGATAACTAACAAAGAAAACAACCAAAATTAACTTATTTACCGGTTCTGTGGTTTCCTGGAGATCAGTATCAGGATGATGAATATAGCAATGACCAACATCACCATGACGACAGCAGTAAAGGTGCATTGCCCGGGGCTACCATAGGCCGCGAAGAGGTCGAAGACGATGATCAGGACGTACATCATACCAACAGACTTGATCACGAACAGTCCTAAGAACGAATCTCGGTCACATTTATGTACTTGCACCAGCGAGACATATTGCAAGGCATGCAATATAATGATACTTAAATTTTATGTAAATAAATCATAAAAATCTGATATATGTAAGTGGATATTTTATTGTTGTTCGCATATTTTTGCATGACGCAACGTTTCAAGTTTTAAAATATTCAGATCCCACCATGATTCAAAAAAGTGTACTCTTCCAAGTTTAAAAAACTGTAACAAATCGTTTAAACAGTTGACCTAAAACTTGTTCCTAAATGTAAGAAAATTTCTAAACTGCAAAAACATACTAAATGTTAGATACATCAATAGATTGCTGATTTTTTCAAATAATATAACCAATCAATTAGGTTGATAAAATACTTCGCATAAGTTAAAATAATACACCAATCTGTAAAAAAGTAACGGCAATTGTCGATATGGGTTAACAGTTATCAGTTTTGCTGTTAAATTAGTTTTCTCTCTTAAACATCAAAGCATGTTACCAGAAGCTTCAGTTGCCGGCCCGCAGTCTACCCAGGGGAAAAGACCGGGGCAGAGATATGACAGACTGAATAGTTGCCGGTAGATAGCATCGAAAAAGCGTCCAAGTCGTGACGTTCCCGCTGAACATCCTCCAGGTACAGCTCCTTTATGTTGAAAATGACATTTTGTAGGCAGGAAAAAGGAAGTAAAAATGTAATTATATTGTATTTATCGATATTAAGACACTTTAGATAAACCTTACCATAAAATTTATTTTCGCTATTGGAGTTAACCAAAAAAGCATCATCACGACCATCTTCACTATCATCGCCAGGCAGTGTGTCATCAGAATCAGGAGAACTGTGGATAGACTAATTGTTTACACATAGCATAAACATTCAATTAAATGGACGACCGGTCTTTCGCTGAGCAGAATTTTATTTCGCTTATCGAATGGAAGTCGCAAAGCCATCGCATTTTAAAGTTACCTGCGGGTGACTCGTCGCACCATCACCCTTTGGCCAGACATCATACCGCTCCTGTGGCCTCCCTAGAAGAAACAAAACCAGAGATAGTAATCATCAAATCTTAATTTTTTTTTTAAAGAAAACGTCGGTAATAACTACCCAAAACAAATATATTAACTACTAAGTAAATTATTCTGATAATATTTTACATTAAGCTGTTAACGCGGTTCCAGCTCTTCGTAATAAAATTCGGAAGGTAGTTTTTCAAATTGAAGATTCCTAAAAACACCTGTTTCGATACTGAGAATAAGCAACTGTAATTTCATAAGTTTTCACGTTTTACTTTTACAGTTTATTAGAGTATTTGTTTTTTATCATACTCCGTTATGTTCTTTATATTAGTTCACTCAGAAAAGATGAAGAATCTATTTTTTTATGTAATGATAGAGTTATATATTATAAAAAACACTGCCGCCATTTTCTTCCTACTCAAATCATGTAACTTAAGCAACTTCATTTCCGTTAGTTAAATGATCAAGGCAAAGGCAGGAAATACGCAGAGTAGATTCCTAACTTTATTTCTATTAACTGGGTGTATATGGCTATTAAAATGAAGCTTTTAATTATTTTTTTTCAATGGAACCAGACAAAAAGGATTATTAAATAAACATTAATATATTGGTGTTCTCCAGCTAATAAAGACTAAATTTATTAGACATGTGTTTTGATTAAATAAATTCTTTTTCTTAAAAAATCATAGAAAAGCTAATTTCATAATAAATAAAAAAAATGAAACAGTGTTACAGAAAATATATTTTTTGTTTTTAACTTTTACAGTTAAAATGGAATCAGAATCAATGCCAGAAAATTATAATTTACAAATATTCCGCCACGAATTAAGACTTTTAAAAGGAAAACGACGGGCTTATATTTTACATATTTTTTACTTTTTAAATAATAAATATTTTTCGTGATTTTGAATAAAAAAGGAAATTGTAAGTGTATTTATGAAATCAATTCGATATTAAGTTTTTTACTCTAAAATAAAATTGTAAATAGTAAATACATTTCAAACAAAAGCCTTTTAATGTTTAAATTATGTACGATGGAATAGTGATGGCTTTTCATGCAGGAGCGCGTTCGTATTAAATTCTTTATATTCGATTTGACAGAGCTGAAAGAGTATAAAGGTGTTTTCACGTAGTAGATTTCATTTAAAAATACAAAATATATTAAAAAGCGGGAAATGGTAAACCAAATGAGCCTTGATTATTAAATTTAAATCATAACCATTTTTGAATATGTATTATTTGGTTGAAATTTTTGAAGTTGCAAAATATGGTATTGACTACTTTCTGGTTTTAGTAGAATTTTTAAAAAGCCACTTTTATACCCCGTATCCATTCATTTTTATTTTTGTAGATGATGACTATTCATCCATCAGTATGATAAAGGAATTTAATTTCATAACATTATAATTTTAATAATTTTATCAGATTAGTTGCTTGATTGGTAGATGTTTCCTCGTTCGGCTGGTCTGTTGATGGGTTGGTTGATCGGTCGGTTTATCGGTTGTTTGACTGGTCCGTTGATCAGTCGTTTGATCGTTAGTAGATCGGTCGCTTAACCTTTTGGTTGATTGGTTGGTAGATCGGTCACTTGATTTGTTGGTTGATTCGTCAGTAGATCACTCAATTGATCGATGGATTTATTAGTACGTTCATTTTTCGGCCAGTCAATTGGTTGATCCAATTATAAATAATATGTTTTTACTCAATATTTAAAATTTATGTTCTAACATGGTATTTTTATAATTCGTTTGTTCTAGATCTACATAAATTAAAAACAAGAATAATTTTTTTTTAAATAATTAGTCAAATCCTGCAGGTTAATAGGGGGATTTGTTTATGAATTTACCAGAAACCGCATTTCTCTTTATTTTTGTAAAATTAATATTAATGTTTTCAATTAAAATGCATAACACTAATACTAATACTTCATAAAATATTATTAAAAATGCCTGTATACACATTGCTGAGTATTTAATAAACGCTTAGCAAGAACTGCACCTTTTACTTCAATACAAATTCAACAGTATGGAATTATTAAAACCAAGTTTTTTTTCATGTTTTCTATCTTGGTATATGTAAATTTTTATTCTGTATAGCGTAAACAAAGGGTAAATGTTTTAAGTAGTAAGATTTTCTTATTATATTAATATCAAGTCAATCTGTAAAAGGTAATCTTTAAAGTTAGTTCTCTAATAAAATACATATTATATTGAAATAAAACCTACGTTTAGTAAGCCCTTTGCCCGTCAATAGAACTTGACTACCTCGTTATTAATTTACAAATATATAAAAATGAATTGTTGTTCCTTGGTCTCACTAAAACTCGAGAACCACTGAACAGATTTATCTTATCATAGTCTTGAAATGTTTATGGAGGTTCAGGGAAGGTTTAAAAGCTGAAAATTTTTTATTAATTTCCGGGAAAACCCTAAAAGCAGCGCTTTTTTATTTCCCATACAAACGGTTTTTTGATATTAGATTTGACTACTAACTAATATGTCAATCATTTTGTCGCACTTCAGAATACGGAGATTTATGGGTTAAAGGTAAACATCAAAAAAATAAATAACACATAATTTATTTCTTGATTGAGGCAGTACGAAGTCTGCCAGGTCATCTAGTTTACAAATAGATTTCATCTGATTCAACCCCTATCTCGTTTCTCCTATGATAAATAGAAACATTAACTTTGACAATCATATATTACAAATAATATTGATAAAAATTATTGAATATTTTTTGTGCATTTCGTTAAAAGAAGAAGACTTCAAGGTGAAGATTTTAAAAACAAATTCTGTTTTGACTATCAAAATCTTGCCGTATAACAAAAATAAATAAAACAATGATAATATATTATTTCGATAAAATGAACAAGAGACCAAATTATGTCACTGAATGATTAATTCATACAAAATAATGAATGTTTCAGAGTTGGTTTTTAGATAAAATAAAAAAAGAGTTCAAAATGTTTTTGAATTGTTAATTGAAAAACATTAAGATAAACTTATACTTAAAATGGTTCATATATTACTTACGTACCATTTCAAAACTTAATAGGTATGTAGCGATAAGTTTAAATAATATTAAATTCTGTTTCGACCAGCGCATTCCATGAATAGTATGCGTCATATTAAAAAAATAATATTTATAATTTTCCTTGTAAATCGCGATGACCAATACTCATTATAAAAACTTTTGTGGATATATATTAACTTAAATATATTTGATATATAGTTGAGGATATAATATTAAATGTACACCGTAATGTTTCTACATAACCACTATAGTATTAATCCTTTTATAATAATAACTGACTTCTACCTATTTTTCCATAATGTCGGGGTTTCACGTTATACTTTTTATGGATATCCTTATCTTAACACAGTTTTTACATTTAACTTCGTCATTAATGTGTACTATTTATTCATACTACTTTCGCTATCAAAATATTTTTCAAAATATTTCTTTTGTACGCAATCTCAAGATATTCGGAATCTTAAGAAATCTGTGTTTGTTGACCCGTTTTATAATGGAATTGTACGAGATAGCAAAACATTATTTTTATTTCTTGAATTGTAACTGATTTATTTATAGTTTATATTTTTAATTTCGTTTCTCATTCTACATCTTTCAGATTTTTGTTGGATTATTTATGTATAAGGAAAGCTATACGTGCATAATTTATAAATATATGCTAACATAACAAAAACGGAATAAGGACAAAAATATTCAAACCATTACTTAATTATGGAAACAGGACACGAGAAATGTTTAAATTGCTCTTTTTATTTTACATATTGTTAAATTTATTGTTATTTTTTTAGAAGCCCAAGAAAACAACAAATGATGGTCGTGATTTTAAATTAAAACCTAATATGGCTAAGGCGTAGGCATTTATAACTTTGATTTTTGTGATGTTTTATTTATTTTATGCATATATAAAGTTGGTCATAAAGTGTTTGATTAATTGTTCATAACTATAACAGTTTATAATGTAAGATTATTTGTACTTAAAATTAACAAATGACAACTTATTTTGAAGCACGTTTATGCTCACTTTATATCTAATCTAAAATCTAGAGATTACTTTGTTTTTCCTCTCTTATGTCCAATTCGAAATGATTGTTTTTTTACTTTTTTAGTCCTCTTCAATTATATTTAATTTGTGTTTTAGAAAATAAAATCTTTGAAACGATTTTCTATATTATTTAATTTATATTTAGAATTCATTGGAAAATTGAGCATTCAGTGTGGAGTGTCATATTTTTAAAGTCGTTTTTTCTAATAGCTTAACGGACTTTGTCACCATGAATATGGGCCACTCAGAACAATTACCCCAGTAACCTGGCGCGCGCCATTGTTTAACCTATCTGTACTAAACGTGAATGGTGATTAATTAATTATATTAATTAATTATCAATGGCGTATGTGCCGTTTAAAATGTTACAATAATTATTATATAACCCTGTAAGGTTTATAAGGAATAAAGAAATACGTAGTACTCACAGCAAAGGTAGTTTCACGCTGAGCGGAAGCAGTACCCTCAGGATCCATCGGAGTGCGAAGGTTTTGCGGCAGTAGTTCGATGAGTGTTGTTGAATGGGGTTGATAACGCAGCACTAACACGCACGTCGACACCAGAGTATAAGCCAGTAGGGTACCTAAAGCATAAAATGCATATTATTTGTGATGTCTATGTTGACACTTTAAGATTATTGTAATAATAAAAAGTTTTTAGAATCTACGATTGTAAATGAAAAGTAGGTTACAGCAACAATGGTTTCAAACTACAATAAAATTGCTCTCGATAGCATTCCTAGTGTTTGGGATAAAATTTTTGCTAACTCAAGTTTCTAAACCCTACTGCACATAATTGTAGACCTATATAATTGGAGCTATTGATATTTTTTTTTAATTAAATTAATATTAATAAATAATATAAAGCTTAGATTATTGATGACTTCGAAAGGAGAACCCCTAATTAATGTAATGTATACATTGTTAATGCAACTTACTTAAAAACTCTGAAATGTAACCAAAAACAAAAAAAAATATGTATGTTCTGTTTCCTTAGTATCTGTTAATTATTCTTAGTACGTTTTTTAGTGTCTGTTAATTATTTCACAGACATTGTTAATTATAAATGTTTTAGCAAAACACACTTCAAGATTATGCTCTCGTTTAGTTTTATCCTTATATTATTAGATATGTGATGCATTAAAATAGTGTATGAGTAAGAGCGGCCGTGTTTTCCAATCATTGTGTAATAAAATCATACATACATGTAAAGTAACGTGAGAAAACTGTTCTCACTGGATTCATTTGTATGAAAAAGCTATGAACAAGCTTTGTCCCGTCTATATTTGTCTGCTTTTGTGGAAAATAAGTCTGTTTATATCCGTAGTGGTCGATACTAAACTCGAACTAACATTATAAAACGAATGTAACAAGCTTCTAAGCGCAATCGATAACGCGATCGCGAAATAAATTTAAAAGTTGACTTTCGTGTCAATTTATTCGGAATACAATATTAACCTTTGATTCGATTGTGTTAGAAATTTAACGGATACAGAACAGCTTCATTCTTCCAACATTAAATAACACCAACAATAAATAACCTGAAGGATACTTTCTTATGTTCGGCAAATAGTATGTATTTTGATGGTTAATTATTTCATTCATCCATAAAGTAGTTATTATAGTGTTTTCAGTATTTGTGTAAAATGCACAAAATATTCCTTCCTCTTTTAGTCCTACTTCAAAATTAACGCCCACATTTCGAAGGATTCTACACCCAAAACGCTTCTATTTACTGGACTCATTCAGGTACGAGTTATTTAGATCGACCAACCACAGCCAATACTAGCATTTCTATTTGGCATCCAAAATGCCTAAAATATTTGTGCAGTACGTCTCTATATCCAACACCCAATACACACAATTGGTTATATGATGAAGCGGGAAGGTTAAATGTTGTATCGTTTATTCAATTCTATTCAAATATAAATAAAAATAAAAATGTGTACTATTAACAAGTAGTTTAGTTTTTGGGTAATAGTTAAAGGATTTAGTACTTACTTGGTCCCAAAATGTTATTGTATAATTGTGCAAGATAATTGTTTTCTAAAAACAGAAATGTTTGAGGTTTAATCGCTCCTTAATATTTAAGTAATAATTAAAAAGCCTGTGAACAATATGTCTAAATGACCTTTGACAACGATTAGGTGGACTTAGCAATATATAACGAAAACTGACAGACATTCACATGTCGTCTACTATTCTTCTTTTAACTACTAAACGGATAAGATCGACAAGACATTAGCAGTATCTATAAAAAAATACTGTCAAATGTGACAATAATATTCTAATGAATAGACAGATGTATAATATATTTAACAACAATACTGTATAATAGTACATATTAAACTGCATCAGGTTTCGTTGTCATTTTTTGGGTATATTATGTTTAACTACATAGCACACAGACGCCAATAGTGTTTTACGATAAGAAGAAAATCTTATCAATATTTTTTATTTAGATTTAATAGATATTAAAAAATGAAATTAAAAAAGGTCATAATAGCCAGTCTTTTTCAAATTAAATAATAAAAAAATAATTGGTATAAAATAATTATTTTCGATTTCAACAACTCTTTAAAATAGATTTTTAAATAAGAGTTATTATCTAAATATCGATGACGAAATAAACGATACCAAAATTGATTATGATAAACAATAACGATAAAACATAAAAGATAAGTAAAATTACAAAAGGGTCTTAATACATGTATTGAACTGATTTAATTCAATATACATATTTGAGACAAATGTTTTCAATTAGGGTATCTTTATCTAGCAATGTTTTTCTTATGCAAATGCTATAAATTAGAAACAGTATCTCATAAATTTATTAAGACAAAAAGTTCTGCTCGTAAAAAATTCACAGTATTTCTATTATTCATGAATACTTTATATCTACATTTTATATCTCTTTTTCTACCTGGCAATTTCCCAACTTTAGCCAGGGTCTGCCTTACATGTTGTGAATAGTTTTGGCTGATTGTTTTACGACCGGCCGCCTGCCTGACATCAACCCTCTTTTTTGGAATCAGAATTAATCAGTGATGTCTAAATAATCTATAGAAAGTACATAGGCCAGGATCGAACCCGCGCCCTCGAGCATGAGAGGCGGGCCTTTTAACCACTAGGCCACAAATGACTCGCTATATATGCTTAATTATATAATATATAAAGTATTTATATCTATACTTTATATATTATATTATAAGCATTATTATTTACTTCACTTTTTTGCCACATATACTTAACCATTTCTTAAATTTCATATTTTTAATAAATACCAAATTCTGAAAATGTTCAAATGAAAATCGTTGCTTCATTCATATAATATTTACCGAATCTTTAATTAAAAACATTAATCACAGCTACCTTTATACACACGGTAACCAATATTGTTATTTCACAGCAAACCTAAAATAAATTGACGATGTTAAACAGCAATCATAATATTGTAAGTATATTTCTGACATAATAACCAATATTTTTTAATATTACATATATGTAATTGTTTATTAAAAATATGATTGCAGCTTTATACACCTCAAGCCCTTTTAGAGTTCAGTGAACTTAAATCGGCTGAAATAATTTGAGTTGAAAATTTAATGGACACATTTTAAAAATGTAAATAGTATTTTACTCTGGTATTTTAAATTAAAATAATTCCAAGAAAAGCAATTTAAAAGTACTATTGCTCGGTACGAAATCATTGGATGCAACAAGTAGTAAAACTTAGAATTTTCGCCAAACTGCGATCTTTGAGAATATATGTATATATAACTGAAGTATCATATCAGAGGGGTTTTGTAATAAACATCAATAATATTTGGTTTCTAAATTTAAAATATTTTTTTTTCATATAAAAGAGTCTTTCATTTTAGCCAACGCTATTTAAAATTAAAATAAAAGTTGACAAAAAGTTTACTCTATATAAAGCTGAAAGGCTTCAAATCCAATATAAAATGTTTATGTCACAAAATTGCATAAAGTTTCACCTGGTAACAGATAGTATACGATTGGAGTTTAAATCACAAAGGTAATTGTTTTTTTTAACTAGAACCTCACCCACCGTTTCACCCTTGTGTTGGTCAAAAATCATTTGTTTTCAGCATCGATAGCCAGCTGTACTTTATTGGAAAATGTGTACATAGCAAACTAAAACATTTATTTTTTTTACGAATATATTGTCTCTTTGAAGTAAAATCACGCCTATTGGATCCTACATTAAATATTAAAGTAGAAAGTGATAAAAAGCAATTGTTTTGGATTAAACTTGTATATTATGAAAAAGACCTAGATTTGTATTTGTTTTAAATTTAAATGTTTCATTACATTTTCAAATCCTTAAATTTCAGAGAACTTTTAATATTTCAGTTAGTTTATACAGTTTATTTCTAACAACTAAAATAAATTGCGGTAATTGTAGATTAAATTAACCTTAACCTTATCGAAATGTTGGATTAATCTTAGTATTTATTGGATACTAACTTTTGCTTTTCTACCTTAATATTCTTTCAAACATAGAAATTAAAAAAGCATTCATTTTATAAAGAGGTACGATAGGCTACGATGGGAAAAATCGTATATCAAATTATTGCCTACCGTAACAATAATTTATCAATTTTTATATATGATAGATTGATAAAAGAATATATATATATATATATATATATATATATATATATATATATATATATATATATATATATATCTAAACGCCCATTATTAAGGAGATGTTTTGAGCTAGGTTTTTACGGTGCGTGGTTATAAATAATAATTAATATCAAAGATTTATAAAACCGAGAAAGAAGAAATAATTTGCATGTTTTCTGTCCCACGTCTAGTAATTTATTGTTCGACTTTAGAAAAAGTTTCATGTTTACAACAATATATTAATTAAATGGCTACGATTCTTTCAATCATTTTTTTTTACATAAACTAACTAAATAACGATTACTATTATTACTTAAATAGACACGCAGAAATATTTTTAATTGCGGTCAATTAATTTTGTGTTACTATTGAGTCATGTAATTTTACTATAAATGTTAAATTAGAATGCTGCATTATTAATTATTGCGTAAATTCTCGTCAATAACATTTGAATATTCATAAAGGTCGTTTAATGCTATTGAAAGGAAATAATTAGTGTAAACGAAAATTAATTGAAGAGAATTCAGTCGTATCATTTCATGGCGAATATATTTATTAGAGAACCATAATAACTATGTAAAATAGTTTGTATTTCATACAAATAAATGTACCAGTTTTAGCAAAATATTCTGTAGTAAAATATTTCTTCATTTTACAGCGACTTATCGCTTCGTCGTACGCTCTTTACAATTTAAGTGGTAATTTTGAGAATCTTTTGTGCAGCATATTAAATTTTTTACTCTTGAACGGTTTTTGGCAGGGTCAATTTAGAAGTGTATTTTATATTTAAATTGAATTCATTAGAATATATATATGAATTTAGGTTGATACATACCGATGCTCATCATTTCCACTAAAACTTCGAGTTGTATGAGAAGAGAGACAAAGGAGGCCGCAAAGCCTCCACAGACAGTCGCAAGAGCCGGCGTTCCAGAAGTTTCCGAAACCGTTGACAGTTGTCTGAAAATAGTTCACTTTGTAGTCTTAAACGATTAATATTGCACTAAAAGGAAAATAGAATTCCATTAAACTGAAGTCATTCTCTTTGTCATGTGAAGTCATAATTAAATGCGAAACAATGAAATGTTCTGAATGTGATATGTATTTAAAACTTATATAATTTCTAAGAAAATTTTATGATTTACGTAAGAATTTAAAAAAAGATGTGAATTTGACTAATTCTATTTAGTCTTTCATTAAAATGATAAATTATTAGTTTTTTAATACGGATTAATAATTATTAATTAATCATTTAAAAAATTGAAGCGGAACGTTGACCAAACGCAATCAATTGCTTTTAAATTGTATTTACTACTTTTTAAATATCGTTCTATTAAAATTTCCAACCTTATAACGTAACGAAAGTAGGTATATAAAACTTAAATAGAAATTGCTAAGTTTGATAATATGATTGTTACAAATTTAGGATGTAACACTCTCTGATCAGTTATACTAACCTAAATATCAGACCATCTTGAGCCATAGCGTATACTATCCTCGGCATAGGAAACATTGATCCAAACATAGAAACTGTTAGTCCAGCCAGTGCTCCAAAAGCAACGATGTATTTGCAAATGGGGGCATTTACGTAGGCAAACATCTTTACCAAAGCCGAATCAGTATCCACTTCATTGTACGGCACTAGAAAATGAACAGAAAAAAATTCGCTTACATGTAAATTGTGTCTAAATTTTGTCAGATCAAGCGAAGTAAATCGATGTACAGAACTAATATACGTATATTATAGGCGAAGGAAATCGATATACAGAATCGATAATTGTCTCATGCAAATGGCTTTTTTATTGTGATAATTTAATAAAAAAAAATAGTTACGAAGCATTGTTTAAATATATTTTCTGGCCTCGAAAACTTTGTAAATATTAATTAGGTGATATTGTTTATGCAACATTTTTAAGATATCCCTATTTTTTATTTACGTTTTTAAACTTTAATTAATAATTTGCTTTTCATCGTACGACCCAAAAAATAATAATTTGAATTCAAAATACTAATTTGAATTCAAAATTAAATAAGTTATAATTATAGAAAAACCTTAACATTTAACTAAATTAATCACAGCTGTTGTTGTATCTACTTGGTCACTAGTAAATCACTCAACAAAAATGTGGATGATATCATAAAAGGTGTTAAAATGTCTGTTTTTTTTTTTGTGGAATTTAAATGACATATATAAAAACTACACTTTATAAATCATTGAGACATATCAGCCTTAAAAGTATACTTATATTTTTACGTATTTTCTATTTTGTTAGACAATATCAATTTAAAGTATATTTAATGTGATAATTGAAAAAACTGTATTATTTTTATGAAACTTTTGTGATTAAAAGTCTAAAACACAGAAAGAAAGAAGACAAAATCCTAACTGAATTAATATTAAACAATTTGGCTAACTTACCAATTAGAGTAAGCATAACGGAGGTGCTGACATAAGCTACGAGTATTATGGCCAAGCTCAGAACGATGGCTAGAGGGATGGATCGTTTGGGGTTGTGTGCCTCTTCACCCGTCGTTGCGATGATGTCAAAACCAATAAAAGCATAGAAGCATGTTGCAGCGCCGCTGAACACCTACAATTATACAGCTATTTTCAGTCTTGTTGACATTTCTTTCAGCACCTCAATTTAACATCATCTTTATTTGTTTTATATATTTCTTTCTAAATTTAACCAAACAGTGATAGTATAGTATAAATTTAATAAGTTTTTTAAAAATTTTATTTTGAAAATATTTCTATTTCAAGTGTTATGTATTTTTGGAGGTTTATAGGATTTATTTTAAAATACATAAAAAGTTTATACTGAAATAATATGTTGAAAGTCGGATTAAATGAAAAGCGAGGCTTAATGAAAAACTCCTGCTATGACTTTAATTTCCGCAGTGACGACTGACATATGGATATTTTTTCCAATTTAATCTCTATTATGCAAGCCTGAAAACAGTGTATAAGTGATTTTGACTCATGAATACTTCCTATTTGTATATTCTTCCGTTATTATAGTAAATTAAATACGTATATACATGCCGATTACATTTTTGATTTTAGAACGTCATACTTGTAATAACAGTATACAGATGATAAATATCAGTTCAAATATTGTTTTGTAAAATTCGATAAGCAGCAATACTTAATGCAAAGTCCTTTTAAACTCCTAGATTACATTTTCCACTCTCTGGTTGAATTGATCTTGATCGAACGTGGTGACAGGGTAATGACAAGCCATTAAGTAGAGTAATGAGTGAAGTATGAGTTTTTTTTTGTTTGACTAAAGGTTTTATTTTGATTTTTATACTGCTTAATATATCTTTTTGATCGTAGTTACTAGAAATGAGACCGAACCATAACTAAAGTCTAATTATAAGGTAGATTCTTAATTTTTTTTTGTATTTAGAATAGAATAGTGTTACAAGGATTTCATAAATGAGTATGAATTTTCCATTTGTATATTTGTACATCTGTTAAAATGTTTGGTTTGAAATAAAGTCATTGTTATCGCCATTTGTACCTAGTTATACTCTATTAAATTTATCTTTTTGTTACAGATATCTTTCAGAATTCTAGAAATACTAAATATAAGTAAAAAAATTATAAACAATTAATGGCATTATGAGCATAAATTGCATGTTACTTAAGCAAGAAAACCCTACTGAATCTAAAATGGAATAAGATACATTAATGGGACGGTGAAGGATTACCAAAACCTCACATTTCCATACATAATATATTATGTTAGTAAATATAGTAAATCAGTCGAGCAAAAATCATGTTTTAGAATATTTTATTATACAATTCTTTGAATAATTTGCTGCTGCAATTTATATAATATTTTTGCTGTGTGAAATGGACTAAACAATACAGTAGTTTAGTATACATTAAAACTATTGCGTAAATGTTCGTATGTTGTGATCAATGTGTTACATAATTTTAAAAGTAATATCTGTTTCTCTGTTAACTTACCCCAGCCCATCCATTTGGCAGAAATCCCTTATGATGAGTCCAGTTTGTTGTGTCGACGTAGAATACCCCCGCAGACATGATAAAGACCCACACCACCAAGTTAATAGCGTTCAGCAGGTTGTTAAAAAACAGCGATTTCCTAACTCCAGCCACAAGCAACATTGTCATCAGGAGAGTTATGCCGCAGGCGATAACGTCGGGAGGTTTGCCTTTGGAGAAATATGTCATACCATAAATAAATTTATTTAAAAATGCTTAATAATTTATTTATTTGAACGGTATGATTATGAATAAACATCTGATTTATTTATTTGAACAGTACATATGTGATTTAATGATTACGAGAGTTTAATTGATTACAATTTTTGAAGCAGAAATGATATAATTATTATCTTTAAAATACATATTGGAATCAAATTAATTTTGTTTCAAATCCTGTATAGAGTTTTTGTTTATGAAATAACTACGGTAGCTTAATATTCATTTTTGAAATATCATTTCAATATACATATTTGGTGAAGTGGTAGAAATACATGATACTACACAGGTTAAAGTTTTATATCATTAAAATATTTTTAAAAATTCAAAATATGTACATCTTTGCAACAAAATTTATTCCGGTTAATATACCTATTATTTCATAAAACACATGCATGTATTATGTTTCCGTAAAATTGTTTTAATGCAATTATTTCGTAATTAAAACTTTAATAACCTTATAGACTTATAGAGCGCTCAGATATTTAATTACTATAATGACCTTTAATTATCTGTTCATAGTAATTATTATTATTTCATGAAACCAGATATTTAATAAGTTTTAATAGTTTTCATACACAAGTTGAATTATATATCGTAATAACTACTAATTAGTACAAAAAGTCTATATTGAAAATATTCCCTTACCATCGCATCAAAGAAATAGAAAAATATATTTGTCATTAAAAGTTTTATGAGGTTTCAAACACGAAAGTTCCAACAGAAAATAATGTTTACGAAAAGTTATGAATTACTAATTTACTTGTAAAAGTTATCTAGTTGTTCTTAATACTGTCTAATATTTTACCTCCTCTAACCTCTCTATTTAACCTCTCGACATATTAGTTACAGACCAAAAATTTTATTGTTGAGATGATTCATAGTCTGTCTAATAAAAAGAATATCATTTTTAAACCGTACATATTAATAAAATAACACGGTTACTATTTAGTTATACCTATATAAAATTTATCAACGTATTTTCTGAGGTCTTACAATAATATTGAATTCTATTGTGTATCTCTTTGCTACAGAGCAGGCAGACTTTTTACATAATATAAAGTCCTCGTTTTGACATTTACCTGAAACTAAATGTAGCATTAGTATTTTTATTATGATGTGCTAACCTCATCTAAGTATTGTTGATATACGTTAAGAACATATGTATTTGTTATTGACAATTGTAAATAAAATATATTCTGATATATAGAAATTAATATTTCGAACATATATTATAATAAAAAATAAACCATTTCATTCCCGCACTCTTTTTTCATATCGTTAGGATTGATTTTTGAAACAAAGCAATTAAGAGAATCAACAACTAACCTTTTCTATGTGAAAAAATTATAATATAAAATATATACTTTTAAAACCAAATGTCACCGCTGTCCTGGCAAGTTTTTTTTATCTTAAAGAGGGCAACTGAGCAGGCGACCCACCTGATGGAGGTAGTACCATTGCCCATGGACATACGCAATATAGTTTTGCGGATGTGTCGCCACCCTTGATTACGGAAGAGGGGGGAGGAAAAAGTGGGAAAAGGGAAAGGTAGAAAAGATTGGAATAGGGCTCTTTCTCTCATCGGACGAATCGTAGAAATTAAATTTTTTTGTGAGAGTGTGGTACTTCCCCGGTTGAGGCAGCCCTTGTTCGAGCTGCACTAAATTGACCATAGCTAGGATCTACCACCCTCAAATCCTTTTTATAAAATATTACAAGTAATCCTCTTTGTACTGACAAGTAATCCTATTTATACTGTAAGAGCTTTTTCATTCCCATTCTAATTTTAGTCTAACGATAAATTTTAAGCTATGTGACAATACAAAGACATGAAATAGGTATTCCGAGAGCCAAATTTTGGACATGCAAGTCTAATTTAAATTGAAAAATCGAATTCTTACATCTGAAGCGTTTCAATTTTTCGATTTACTTTATTAATTGAATTTACGACGAAGAAGTTATAGAAAAATGCAATGTAATGGTTTTTGATATTTATGTGTGGATGACTATCCTGTGACGTTAAATTTGACCGAAGCGAACTGTAAAGTCTGTATAAAGGAAATCGTTGCGTTACTGCCTGGTTTTACATTTCAAAGGATTTTAGGATCATCATGGGATCTACGACCTAATTTGTTGCATAAAATTAAGTAACAACGTAATAATAATAAAAATGTTGTAAATATAAAATATTATTTTCTTTCTAAAAAAAGAGTATTCATTGGAGATACACATTTAAATCGCTAATCAAGAATGTTACTTTGTTATTTATTCATTATTAAGAGAGGTTTTCAGGAGTCGTTGACAAAATGCCTATTTAGATTGATGTTTTCAAGTTTAGTTTTTATTAATATAACATTTTACAAAAGTTCACATGGATACAGAAATTTTCACTAGGTACTATAGAGTAAGCTTTGCTTAATTTATAAATATTTGTTAATAAAGACTTCTTATATTTATAGGGATACTGAAAATATCATGTATTGATTGTAGAATAAGAAGTGCTATTTATTACAAGCCAGAATAAATTATTTTACTTTTATGATGTTTTGATATGAGATTAACTGGTTAATAAATCTATACATTAGTAGGAATGTAAGACTGCGTCGACATTCGGCTAACTTTAAATAGAGTTATAGTGTATTGTTAATCCACTTCAAACCAGTAATTAAATTATTTTCTTAGGAATACAAGCTATTATTATTTTAAATCAATAAAGATCATTTGGTAAGAAACGAAAATATTGCTCGGTGATGGTTATTTTTTTCAAAAGTGTGTAGTTTTAAGAAAAACAAACCAGATATTTAGTACCGATGTTATTAAAAAGTGTAATATCCTTAAGGGTACTGTGACAATAAGTGGCTTGTAAGTTTTAAAATATCCCATGTGTCCTTCAATGGTCTCTCTGTAAATATTGAAAAACTTCCTTCCATAAAAACTCTTCTGTAAATTCAAGTATTATTTTAACAGTAAATAATGTTATTTTTATTTGACAGTTTGGATAATTTATAAATTGTCTTATAACAACCTTATTTGTTGAAGCAATTAAATTAACGGTAACACTAATTTAGCCCCTGGATCCCACCAAGACTTCTTTCCTGGATCCCTCTGTTTCATGATAAAATGAAGTCGACCTTTCTATCTAAATGAGAAAAAGGGATTCTCGCCTGAAAGAAATACATTCCCACCTGCGAATGTCCAACTTGCATTCGTCTCGGGTGACCATGTTTCGAAGTTGAGAATTTTCTTCTTTTCTTTCCAATTGAGTAATATACTACAAATTAATACTTTCTCAAATCTCCAAAAAACCTTTGAATTCTTCACAAATAAATTCTCGTACTGTTACTTCTAAAGCGTCTTTTTATTATTATTATAATTATTATGTTATAATGTTTCCTGCGAAAATTATAACTAACAAGCAATCCCTTTTTATTTTCAATAGTTTTCAACTTTACCATTATTAGTACGTTACACAAAAAAATAAGCTAAAACCTAATGTTTTAAGTGATGTTATGAACTTCTTGTTGTTTTTCGTTTGACGGTAGTGATGAAGTATTTATTTATCTCTTGAGAAATATTGGGGTAAAATTTCTATAATATCTCGGTTTATTCGGTTACTCTTTATTTTGTAAAATGGATTTACAGGTTTCTTATACATTTTCGAAAACCTCCATAATTGATTTTATATATAGTTTCATCTAAAATAGTTGGACTACAATTTTATTTTACGCCATATCTAAGAAAGTTAAAACTCTTTTGATTTTAGTTGTATTTCATTATTCTATAACAGTTTCAAAAATGTATGTATAATAAAAGGAGCTACACAATACAATTTACAAAGGCTTTGGGTTACGTAATCCTTCAAAGTTCAACAAATTACAAAAAAAAAATATCCGTTATATGTTAAACAATAAACAATTGAGTTTCAAAACAAAAGTAATCAGTGAGTTATTATTGTGAAAAAACTAATTAAGTTAATGTTTTACGTCAATAAATTAAAAAGACTGTGCTCCGAATACCTTTTCTTTATTTTATTCCGATCTTCATCCCACACACTTTTTTCTTGTTTATAAACGGAAATAGAAAAGCTGTAGAGTTTTTTCTATGCTCTCCCTTTATTCTTTCATTCACATTATAATTGGAGAATATTATGCAAATATCAAAGTTTTTATTTAATTAACGAATAATAATATCATTTTGAAACTTATATTTAGAAAACACAAAATAATTTTACATTGTTCAAAACTTGGTCACGGTAATAAATTTTATTACTCATTTTTCATTTTAAACGTCAAAACTTTCCATTTCATATTCATATAGAAATCTTTAAACAAGTTTTATTCCAAACTGTATGAAAATTTAAAGTTTCCCAACTAGACTGTAATCCTTTTTTAATATAATTATGACCTGACGTTCTCCACAGTTTAGTTTACAGAGTTTTCCGTATAACAAGCATAAATCAATTGCGGTATCGGTAACTTTTAGTATCGTAAACCTATTCCTTATTTAACTTACAAGTATCAACACCGTAATAACTTTTTTAACGTTAATTTTATAAATTTTTCCTTCGTACAGCTAAATAGAAAAAAATATCGATGAGACTTTTATTGTTTTAAATTCTGCTAAATGTAATGAATTATTCATGTCTATTGCTCACTTGGGTTCAAATTTACATTAATAGTAGTCCGACTTGACGGCTTGAGTTCATCTTATAAATTCAGCTCTCATTGATAATAATGATATTTAGCTTTAGGTATTCAGAAGATTACTTAGAATTTAATAATAAAAATAGAATCTCTTACACCATAATGAATATTATTTCCCTTCTTTTAAAGTAGTTAGTAGAATTGTCATGGTTAGGTATGTTGTATGGTAGGAATTTGGTGTTTATATTCCAGAAGTGTAAAATTTTAGAGAAAAATAAAATGAATTTAAACAAATAATATGGATAAAACTTTTATTGCTTGTATATCAAACGTTAGTATGCCAAAAGATCAAAATGCCAAATTCTCATCAATGCCAAAACAAAATACCGGGGTTCACCTTGAAAAAGGTGGAAGAGCCTTTGACAGGAAAAGCAATAAGCAACGGTACTAAGTATAGAACGATAAAATGAAAAAAGGTTTGTACACAAGTATGTTTTATAGCTTCCACACTAATGCTACTCACCTCTTAAGGAGTAGCATTAGTGTGTGTGTGTTTGTGGCTGGCTGAGGAAGGTAACCATATGTCAAACTAACTCATTCTGCTATTAACCACGGTCATAGTGAGATGATTAAATTGTTCGAGCCTGTTTTGTCCTAAAGTACCATTTATAAATATTTTGAATCCGACAGTTCCATGGCAAATAACATTTGTGATGGGACACTTTTTAAGACAAGTAGGCGTTGTTTATAAATAACTCAGATATTTCTATATAGCGAATAATAATAAAATTAGTATAACAATATAAATACATTTATGTTGCATCACTTTTCTACTTCATTTTTCGTTTACGTAATGACTATCTCAGCTGAGAGTCTCTCGGAAAAGAATGCTTAAAAACACTTCGGCACGAATTCTGATATCTTTTTTTCACAATCCCTTAGAACAATTCTTACGACCTAATAAATCCCTTAGTAATACAAGAATAAGATGTGATTTGTTTATTGTATAAGTTATTTTTAATTATTTCGCTGACAAAAATCGTTAATTTATTTATAACCTCGCTATTTAATCAACTGATAACCTTCTTATATTCATGGAATAAATAATAACAATTTTAGAATTTAATAAAATCCATATTTTACTTATGATAGACTAAATTCATATTGTAATTGTTTGAAACATCAAAGATTTATAAATTATTGAAATTTAAAGATTTGCACGAAATTTGATTGATTATTTGCATTTGATGAATTTTAAAATAATATGCTCATATAAAACTTACAAACTATGTAATTGGTATGTATTTTAAAAACTGATTATTAAATATCTAAATTTATTTTGAAATTTGTAAAAGATATTAACATTATTTGTACATGAATGAGCTGGTACGACATCAAAATATCTATTTTCAATTTTCAGTTTACATTGTTTGCCATCCAGTGACATTGATGGGTGTTAACGGCCCAATAATCCTTTTATAACAATACGGGGCTTATACACTGAGAACCTTTTAATTTACAAGTAACCTATTTAGGATATTTCTGAAATGAAAAATCAAAAAGACTTGTTTAAAGTCTTTTTAGAAATTTAGTGTGATTAAAATCAATTAGACGAAACTCATGTATGGGTCGACTGGCACTTGACCAACTTTTTTTTGTATTTTTAACAATATTTTTTACAATGAAAACTTATCTAAACAGTTGAAAAAAATGTATATTATAGTTAGTACAAAAGCTTACACACCTTTTTCATTTAATGAATGTAGATAAAAACCAACTCTAATTTTAATCCACATTGGCATGTAATTTAAAAGTAAAAACTGAAAGAGTATGTTATTTAAAAATAGCTTATTTAATTATTTTTTTATTAAAACCTTAAATAGAGTAAAAGATTTAATTTCCTCATTGGATTGATTTTCTTAAGATTGAAAGCGTATCCTTGTGTTGGGTTGAAATGGAGGTTCCATATTGTAAACCATAAATTACAGTAGGAACTTATTTATGAACTTTTGATTCAAATTTATTTTGTGGTCATAAAATTCCCAACATAATTTAAAACTATTGTTAAATTTCTCATCATGTTGTTTAATGTTTTTATATAAAGATGAAGATAATAGTTATTTTTATTTAATAGATTTAAAAGTGAATTATGGCCAACACATTTTACTACCTATATTTTGTTGTTAATACCACAACGCACATCAATGACATTAAAACATGAGTGGACCGAAATTAAATAAGCCTCTCCAGGAAACAGTAAAAAGGCTGCTTTTAGTGTACTGACATGGAGACTATAGGAAGCACCATAATTTTATTACCGTGAAAGTCCATTAAAATTGTCAAGCCAATAAATGCACTCCCAATGCAAAAGTAACATGTTCGATGGTTTAATGCTTTTAGGTTCGCATATATTGTTGGATATATTTAAACGATATGTAGACGTGAGTGATAATGGCAAAAGCTTATTTAAAAATATGAAAATACATTGAAAACAGTTTTTTTTTTAACCTGAAAAATAGAAGTTATTGAAATGATTGAAATACTTAAAACAACGTCCTTGTCTTAAAAACATTCATCACATTGTAATTTTATAGAATTATTGCGTCTAGTGGTTCTCAATTTACAATTATCTTAAAAATGTCTGGTTTCTACGATAAATTACACAAATATTTTTTATAATTTCCATTCAATTTTTAAGTCACTGTATATAAATCCTTCGTAATAAATTGATATCCCTATATCTAGATAAGCGCTCCATTTTGCTACGGACTCATAAATCTTTCGCATTCTATTCTGGTACGTAACGATGCAGAAAATTATATTTTGTATTTACAGGGGCAGTGTATCCATTTTCACTTCCTGTATCTAACACAACTCTGGTTATGGTAATAATAATTGAATAAAAATAATGTTTGTTTGTTCTTTTGGATTTGAAGGTGTTTTGAATATATCCCAGGTTATTTATAAAACTTACCAAAGAAGGTGCCCATTTTGGAAGCAAGGAGTCGACCGATGGCGCCATCGAAGAGAGTGTCCAAAGCAGCACTAAGAGCACGGGCACATGCACTCGTTCCAATCTGCACCAGGTTTTGAGTAATTAGGTATAAAATTATTTTATTAACACTAGGTACTTTTACAATATTATTAAAACCTAAATTCTAATTATCATTATAATAACAAAACCTCAAATAGGAAACGAACAAAAGGAACTTCATGACATTAAGGTAACGACATAAAAATATGACCAATATTATAATAGTTTAAATAATAAATTCATTTTTATTTTTTTTTAATATACCTACGATGTTGTATGAAAATTTATAAGTTATTATTATTTTTTAAATGAATCGACAATAATTTTTTATTCATTATTATACAATTTGAAGTGACTGTAATGAAATTTACAGGAATTATCGACTTTAGCAGTATATTAAAAGCATTTCGAGCAAACAGAACTAATCTTTGTTAGTGATCTCAATTCCAACACCAACAACATCCCATTGTAATTGGACGGTCCTCGAGTATGAGAACGCATACGTTCAAGTAATTAAATATGAACCTCAGATTTAATTTTGTTAGAATGAATCGTTGTCACTGACACACGCTATTGAGTTTTATTTGTTTCTGAATTAGTTTCAGCATATGAATTATACAGTTGAATATTTCATAAAAGATATATTATTATTAAAATATTTTTGAAGTGGGTACGCTAGAATAATTAATCAATGAGAAAATTACTTCAGAGTATGTAAACAAAATAACACTCACCAAGTACTCAAGAACCATATTCCAACCAATGACGAAAGCAATGAATTCACCGACAGTTACATAAGAATAAGTATAAGCTGATCCAGTAGTATTAGGGACACGGACGCCAAACTCAGCATAGCAAGCACCTAAAATATTGATAGACCTTAATATAATGAAGTAACATACAAAAACAAATTTCGTCATCATCATTACAATATTCAGAACGAAAATGGTAGAACACTTTTAAATAAATTATTATGAAAATTATGCGTTTTTAATAAGATATTTTTACTATTAAATTTACAATTGATCGTCAAGTTAAGAAGAGAATTAACAAAGCTTTTCAAAATTAATAAGGCTAGACTAAGATTCCGTAGATATGGTTGGCACAAGCCAAACCTAGAATATTACTTTTCAGTTGGTTAGTTTGAATTTACAAAGAGATTGTGTTTTTAAAATACTAATCGATCAAATCTATTTTTGTACGTGTTGTATTTTTAAATATTTGACTCAATGCTTGGGGCATTGCCTTTCAGGAATGAATGGTTTAAATTTTTATTGTGGAAAACCTATTTAATTACATTTAACTTAATATAATGACTGAAGTGGATTTATGTACCAAATACTAGACTGAGTTTCAATGTAGATGTTAAGTAACATAGCATTGTAAATGTTTGCAAACGTCAAATTAATCGCTGATTGCACCTATTGTTTACTGAGCTAGGTAATAATGTATTGAGGGGTAAATATATATTGAGGCGATTTAAAAAAGCATGTTTTCAAAACTTAATTTACAACTAGTGAGCTTCGTATCCATAGTAATATTTAAAATATTTTTAAAAAGTTTTTATATTTAAAAAGTTTTTTTGAATGAGAATTTATTAACTAATTAAGCACTAAAATCCCTAGAAATAATTATAAAATAATTTATTAAAATTGCCAATGAATCGCCTTTTATAGCAAAAGCAAGCTATTCCTTTTTTCTTTGACAGTTATGAACTAAAGTGATAATTTTCTTCTATCATTAATTTATTTTTCTTCATAAAATTGTTTACTTAGAGAGTTACAAATTTTTTATTGCATAACTTTGTTCTCGGAAGACCTAATATATTTTCCATTTAATATGATAACACGATTCTTTTCATCCTACCTTCTCATGAAATGTCAAAGAAAAGCTTTAATTTATAATTGTCAGGTATATTTGATTCACAGACTTTGATAAATGCCAGTTGGGGCCAATTTTAGAAGGAATCGTGAAACAGGAATAGACGTTAAAAGCTCCATTCCATTTTTAAAATGTTCCATATCTGTCATCTTGTCTGTTATAGGTTTCTTATGAAGCTAAAATTATTATAAAACGAAGTCGTCTAATGTGAGTCTCTTATATAAATTATAGTATATTAATTTTCAATTTTATTAAACTTAATATTACGTTATATGAATATATCATAACATACGTCCATATAAATATTTGTATTCATAACCGCACAATCACAGGTACACGTCCACATGGATAGACATGCACATCATACATACATATATCTACAAGGGTGTATGAATGTATGAGCTTTTAGCGGGGTTACAGTAAAAATATTCTTTTTAAAATAAAAACTAAATATTAGGTTTAGGTAATATTAGGTTTTTGGTAACTTACCCGAGAAAATACTCGCAATGGCAGCTATGATGAAGCTCAGCGCCACGCCCGGTCCAGCAAACTTACGAGCAACCATACCGGCCACTAAATACATCCCGGTTCCAACACAAGATCCCACTCCCAGTGATGTTAAGTCAAATGTGCTCAGGCATCTCTGTTAAATAAGGTACTTGAGGTTAGTTTCAAGCTGATTAAAATTACCTGAAACGAGTGTATTTGGTATTTTGATCAATTCTATAACTATTCAGACTTCTCACTAACACTGATACCTAATTTAATTTCGAACCTGTAATCCCATTACCAGGTTTGTTAAGGTATAGTGTAGCAAGGAAACTCAATGAAATATCAATATTTAAGGATACTGTTACAAGAAGATTCTGCCAATTATGTAACTCTTGCCATAATATGGTCTAAACCGGTTCGGTTAATGGTTTGCAATTAATTAGGTTGCTTTATTTCTTTGGGAAACAAACATTTTTACCGTATATTTTTAAAAGTTATAAAGAAAAACTAATTATTCATTAATAACATATTTGATATTTATAACAGATTCATATCATTTATTTTACGTGAACATCTTAACTGTCAATTATTATTTTATAAAGGGAAATGGCATTCGAGATCTTTTATGTCAGCATGTAAGGCGAAGAAAATTAGTTGAGGAAAGGAATTGCGTGCAAGTGACAGAAAGATTCAAGATAAATAGCTCCCGATGTTAATTTTTTTCATCTTCATGGAATGTTTTATCTGAATCTAACTTAGGTAAAAACATGTTTTGAAATAGTTTTATTCCTGTTTTAATATGATTATGAGTAAATTTGATACTTCGCATTAACCATTTTCATTTATTAGAAAATCTAAGTATCTTTTTAAATTACTTCTGACAAGATATAATTTTTTATATTATGAAATAGTTATTACTATCAAAAGGAACTTTCACTAATTATGCGATATTAATTTTCCTTCGCTATAAAGAAAAGCTCATTTTCATATTCCAATTTTAAATTCTTTTTAAAGGTTTAAATTTTATTACAAATATAATTTAAAAAGGCAATTTTTATTAATACTGCTAGTTTGCTATAGCAAAGCGCCTTGTCTTAAAGGAGAATATTATCCAAGAAAAATTATTTTAGCATTTTCTGACCATTTTGTCTAGAGGTGTTATTATACTTCTAGTTAATAATCTCTTTGAAATACGTCCATTATAACTTGGCTTAAAAAATGAATATGAAATAACCTCATGTTTTAGCATAGAAAATAAAACCAGATATAAATATAGGTGCGAACAAGTATTCTAGAATATAAAAGATCTTACCCAACTATATATTAAATATTATTAATTTTCCAAAAAATACATTTTATTACTTATTAAATTTCGTTATTTATGTTATAAAGCCAATGGAATCATAAAATTAATAATATAAAAAAAATCCCGTTAAATAAAGTCATTAATTTATTGTTTTGTCTGTAATGTCTTAAATGGAACAAGTGTTTGATAATATTGGTTGAGATTATTTAGATTATTCAGATATTATATATTCGTGAATGCAGTTGTATAAAACAAGATTACTTAATATATTTTCCATAATTAATGACATAGAAAAATTGCATTACGTACGTAAACGTTTTTGTCCTAGGATCAATGATTTTTGAAAATATTCCATCTTTTGCTCAGAAGTCGTTAAAATTTAAAAACTTTAACATTCACGGAATGTAAATAAATTTAAGAAATAAAAAAATATTAGGATTTCTTTACACTTCTATTACATTCATGCAAGATTCTTATCACTAATAATATATATATATATATATATATATATATATATATATATATATATATATATATATACCCTATTCCCTTTATTTTCAAAAATAAAAATACTTTATTTTTATTCGGTATTAGGTACTGTAAAACATGTCTCTATTGACTTGAATACTTGAAGGGATCTTATTGTTATAATACTGAAAATGGCGATAATTATAACCAAGGATAAAAGTTGTTTTACAGAAGGTATTACAAGTATTTTTAAAACAAAGACTTTTATGATAATAGATGAATAATGAAATTAAACTTCACTGAGCTTCTGTATTGGTCTGTTCGGAAGGATTACACGGTTTTCCTGGAATAAGCCGTTCGAACCCATCTATGTTTGTCTATCTAGACTGAGAGCTCGCTCCAGCGATCTATGTAAGCCTATTAAGTGTAAAATCAGTGCATCACTACGACTTTTTGAACAAACTACCTTACTAGGTTAGCTATAAAAAACTAAAAATTAAAATATGACTCAATAGTAAGAATTAGATGAATTTATTATAAAAATGACCATAAAAATTAATTGCTTTGGTTTTTTATATTGCCATTTGCATATGGCAAACAACCATTAAAATATTACAATTTTTAGTAATATTTATTATTTACTTTCAAATGAAAAACAAAATGTCACACAAACCAAAAAGACATATTATTCTATAAACAATTTACTATTTAAAATTTTATAATTTACTAGTTTTCGCCCGCGACTTCGTCCGCGTTAATTTCGTCATTAGTAATGTAGGTATAGCTGACCGGGCGAACTCTATTCCGTCTTCAATAACCCGGTATTGGTATTTATTAAATTTCTCCAGTTTCAATCGAACAGAATGATTGACATATTAGTTAGTTGTCAAGTCTAATGTCAAAAAATCGTTTGTATGGGAAATAGAAAAGGGCTGTTTTTAGGGTTTTCCCGGCAATTATTCCAATTTTTCTCACCTTTTAAACCTTCCCTGGACTTCAAGGAGTATTTCAAGACTAACATTAGCCAAATCGGTTCAGCCGTTCCCGAGTTTTAGCGAGACCAAGGAACAGCAATCCATTTTTATATATATAGAAGATTAGTTAAGGTTTTTAGTGCGTCTACACATTTTTTTGCTAGTTGTGTTTTTCTAGCTAGGTTTTCTTTAAAATTTGTCTATTGTTTTTTCTGAGCTTAGTGTTAAAAACACTTCCCAGCCGTTATTATACTAAATCCCAATGTACATATTATTTACATCGGTCCAAGACTTCTTTTTGTATTGTTATTCAGTAAACCTGGCTACGCGATCGCTCCATTTTCATTTTCATCATTGAGTTAAGTAGAGCGTTGTTTAACTTGGTCTTCTTGCGTACGACATAGGCCGTAACCTTGTTTGTTAGAGTAATTTTCATGCAGCTTATTTTCATTGTTGTTTGTATGTGTTGAATTAACAAAATAATTGAGTTTAGCTTCCATAGGCCGAACACTACTACACTAATGAATCAATACAATTATGCCTGATAACATGTTTAAATAAAAAAGACACTATCGATTTTTTATGTTGTGTGCACAGAAAAAACACCACCATCTTAATGACATTTTTCGTCATGACAAACAGTATATTAAGATAGATTCAATTATTTCTAAACTTTTATAAAGTGGTTTAGCTTATTGATATTTTCTTAAAATTAAATTAAATAGAAAATTTTAAACTTCAAATCAAAATATCTAGAACTCTTAATCACACAAAAATACTTTCAACAAGTGAATACTTTCAACTTTGATATTGTATTGCATGACTTGGGTTATTTACTATTAAGACATCTAGACCTAGCCCTGACTAGTTGTTTGTGCACAGTATTTTTTTAACAATCGAATTTCACTTCGCTGGTACTGCTACTTTTATCTCTATCTCTTAGAATTATTATACTTTTAGTGGTTAGCATGTTTCGAATACTTTATTTAGTCTGTGATTTGAAAATAAAATGAAATTTTTCTTGTGTTGCATCTTATTTGATTAACTCCTTTTTTATGTTAAATAACAGGCATGAATTTTTTTTTCTGGATCCAAAACACTCTATTGATTTGAGTTTTCTTTAGTCATGTTAAATATTTCTATTATTATTGAAAGATGGACATTAAATAAATTTTTTTGAGCATTAAATACATTTTACGTTGTTTTTTTCGTATTTTATCACAAAAAATATATGATAGATTTATTTATGAATTACACATTGGGCAAATGGCCTCCATAGCTTTGCTGGCACATACACTTAACAAAACTTACAATGACCATTTTGCATAAATGTGGCTGAATTTCGCTAATGCAGAATTTATTTTCTTCCTGTAATACACGAACGAATGTGGGTCATATATTATGCAGTTTAAATTACCCCCTAAAATATTGTTATTATGTTAAAGACTTAGGGGGCTTTTTAAGAGTTAATACTCAATACTTATAATACAGGTGACCAATGTTCGCTCTATCGGTAACATTCAACTGGGGAGAAATTTGAACGACCAATTTATTTAAAGTCTTCAGTCTGAAACCGGTCTGATCTATCTGTCTGATTCTCAGTCGTATCTAAGGTTTTCAATTAATATCAAGAAAACAGACGATGAAGTTATATATATATATATATATATATATATATATATATATATATATATATATATATATATATATATATACACATATATATTTTAATATCCCACTACATTGAACTCTCATCTAAAACCGTTTGTACTTATTTGAACAAACAAGTAAATTTACTAACTGACGGCAAATTAAAATTTGAGTTAATCTCCCTTTTTATAAAATTTCTAAGCTTTTTATTCTTTTGTGTAAGAGCACATTTTGTTACCTGTTTGTTAAAATTGGTAAGGTGCTTAGATTTAACGGCTTAATAAATATTTTGTTTCTGATTTCCCTTCATAACTTTAACTTCAGTTTTAAAAGATCCAAAATATTTAAAAAAAATTGGTACCTTTATTATCCCATTATGAGTTGCAGTTTATCTAAGCAAAATGTAATAAACGCATTGTTTTCATAAACTTTTATTATTTCACAGTTAATGCTGAAGTTGCTAATTGTAATTTGGTTCTATCTTATGATTTTAGTGAGCTATTAAAAGGTCTTTAAAGAAATCGTCCAAATTTTCTTGAGCAAAGCTGTTTTTCCGTGAGGCATTTGCTAAGAATGCAGAAGTTATAATTATGTTTGTGTCTTACATATTTCTAGTAATTTAGAAATGGAAAATGGATCTCTAATTTTATTTAAAAAAAAAACAAAATATTTTAATTTAGCCTAGACTATATGTTAAAAGATACTATGATCTTCTTTTACATTGTTCTCATACTGTCGAGTTGCACATGGACATTTTAAGAAAGATAATAACGAGTCATTATGAAGATATTAACTAAAATTAACATCGTACATTTGTTTTTGATATTTATTTCAAATTGTCTTGCTTTTTGCCGTTGTATATCTTTTTGCGTAGCAAAACTTTTGAACAAACAACATTTTGGTTATAATGTCTTTGTAATACTTTGCTTCTATTGGTTGACTGCTTCTAAGAACAATTGTTTTTCCTCTTTATTAAGGAATTTAAAAAAAGACCACACTTGTTTTGAATATACTGGAAAGTTGATTCTGATACACAAAGTGAATTTATACTAAATCCTTAAAGTTTATTCCATGCGTATAATTAATCAACGTTTGGATTATTTATCACTCCTCATAAAAAGATTTATGAAGATAACGGTACTATATTACTGACGTCTAGTTGAAACAAAATTATTCTTTGAAATTAAGAAAAAATACAAATCTTTGAGATTTCTAATAAAGAGAGATTGGGAATAGTCTGAATATACAGAATATAATATACAGAACAATAGATAGTGCGCTGTTTTTATTAATAATTACTATTTAATATATACGGTTACCTGTAACAAACACTTATAATTACTTTATACGAGGAAAAAACGTGTATAATTTTTTTTAAATTATATATCTATATATATATAAAAGAAAGTCGTGTTAGTTACTCCACTTATAACTCAAGAACGGCTGAACCGATTTAGCTGAAAATTGTCAGGGAGGTAGTTTAGAGCCAGGAAAATGCAATAGGATACTTTTTATTCCGTTCAACAGCATTCCCGTGGGACTTGACATGAAACGTCAGTCACTATAAAACATGGAATAACGAAACACAATTGACAGCTATGCAATTGACGTATAATGACAGATATGTAATTTAGTGTTTGCGGGATAAATTTAGAAAATCATTGTTTTTCACATGGGCAGTTATAGTTTAAGTGTTCACGAGTTGGGAAACCATCCGCTATATTTGTGTTAACGTTAGACCAAAAACCAAAAAATGTGGTTTACAAAGGAGCACTTCAATGAAACGGATAATTTGCGGACATGTATAACGCTTCGATTCGGTATCTACTTTGGATTCATTTCATTTACTTAGAGAACTTCAACTAAATAACACTTCATTTTTGTAATCGAAATGAATTCATTACTGTTGTGAAATGAAATAAAAATTTTCCTTTTCAAGTATAAAACAAAAAAAAATTCTTCATCTTTTAATCACCAAATGAAATGTTATATAAAAGCCTTCTGGAGGCGAAACGGATTTCGCCAGGTTTACTAGTAGGGAATAAAATCAAAACTCACGGAATTATATACGATTTTTTTTGATACAGATAGTTTAACAGAATTGTAATTTAATTATTAATCAAGGAATGTAAAAATAAAAGGGTCCTTCATCGGGATATATTTTTTAACAATGGAATCCTTTTTAAGCCGGCTTACATTCTATCCATATTTCAAAATACAATATTTAAATATTCGTTTAGTCAAAGTTTAATTTAAGTTATGTTATATAAGAAAGAATATGTTGATATGTAGGCTATATTTATTTACGCACTCATCATAGCCGCTTCACTATTTTTTCAGGGTTTATTCATTGGTAATAATGGATACTGACAGTTAGATGTCGAGCATATGACACGTATCTATAGCATGTAATTTTTGCGTTATATTAGTAAGTAATTAATATTTTATATTTTAAGCTATTAAAATGTTACCTATTTCAGGACTTGCCTTTTGCTTTCTTTTCAATTCTTATTTTGGTTTTAGAGTTTGTAAGGGAATATCTTAAAGTTTTCTCACTTAAACATATTCTAGCCCACTTTAATAATACTTCTCTTAGAAAAGCATTCCTAAATAAATCTTTTCGATGGTCTATTTCACGAAGTTCCAAACACTGTTATTTTTACCTTTATTATTTTAGTATTTTCTTTAAATCTTTCAAATACAGTCAATTTCATGTTGTGAAATTTCTATTTAAGTTATATGAGTGATGTAATCACGATATTTGGTTTTTTAATCACCACATTTATTGACCATTATGAATTAAACGGTTTGATCCTTTGTTAGATAATTATTACAGATAAAATAAAATAAAACCAAATGTCAAAAAACATCTCTGTTTTTAAATCCTAATCAACTTTCTAAATATGCACCGAAATCATTTAAGTCAAATTGATATACCTAGTGTGGGCGTGATTTGTTTTTACAGCATTAAGTGGGTTTTATATTATGTACTAAGTATTATCCGTGACCTCGTGAAATCAATTTGTGTCTGGCACAGTAAACAAACTTTACCTGTATTGCATAATTTTGTCAAGGCACGTGATCTAACCTTGGTCCACTTCATTAAAATCATCCACACATTTTTCAACTGAAGAAATATTTTATTGACTAAAGTTCCTAAAATAAGAGATTTCAGGACAATTGCATTGAAACAACTGTCTCCTACTTTGGTATCTAATATTTGTTTTGACTATTTTATTTTAAATGATACCATCGAGTCACAATACTTACTGATGTGATGATTAAAAATTTAAAGTTTCCTATGTATTATACTTTACTCCAGAAGGTATCACGTAATTTATGTTATAATCCAAGTGGCAACTATCATAAGGGTTAAGTATATATATTCATACACTTACCGCCAAGCGCTGCCTGGTGGGTAGGTTGGCATCTTGGTTCTCGGTATCACGAGGGTCACGGGTTCGAATCAGTTTGGTAAATACCACGTGACTATCTCGCCGCACCGCAGCCCAATCGATGCCGCGAAGGCGCTGCATCGCGCTGTAACAAAACCTTACATTGAGTAGGCTGATACCCACAATTTCGTATTTGGGTTTTTTTAATGACATAAATATGAATAAAACTAAGCAGAAAATGCTGTTTAGAAGAAAGAAAACCTTAAATTCTAAATATATTTTTTATTTTCTAAAATTTAATGTCTAATCTGAGTATACTTATTTAAAAAATATAAGTAAAATCTATTTTCTTTCATTGTAACGGATATGCAAATAAGTTCAAAATGTAAGTAACTACAGTACAGTAAGTAAGTATAATATAATAGATGACAATTACTCGTATTTTTATCAAAAAGTCATAATTTTTTTGTAAACATTAAGCAATGATGAATTTTTTACATAACGAAAATATCTATATAGAAATTATGTTTGTACATGTGGATTAAATATAAAAAATAAAAACAAAAGCTTTTTATTTAACATGAAAATTATTAAAAAACAATCAACCGGGAATGGTGTTCTTAATTCTTGAAATCCAAACAAGTTGATGTAAAATCTTTTTTTTAGAACTTTTCATTTACTAAATTAATTTTTAAAGACGCAGTAATTAACAAAGCAATAAATAAAGTATTGTCGCATATCGTGTGTTTTAATAGAAATACAGTTATAGTAAATGAGGGAAATAATTCGTTTTTAACATATATTTTCAATACAACCCAAAAATTTGAAACAAAATCATTGAGATCAAGTCATATGTAGAGCAATATAAAAATTGTTCGAAGGTACCCAAGAACATTGATATATAAAGTAGGTATTGTGTTATTGACTTTCCGGGGGTCGGTTTGAGCTGGGAAAACGGGCGTGAACTTTTATTAATTTTATTTTTATATAATACTTTTCATTTAAAAATATTTCTAGTCCGAATTTTAAGACTTTCAATGAAATTAAAATAGAAGGAAGGCTAAACCCAAGTTTGTGGCCTACATGTTGGTAGACCACAAAAACTATTTGTGGATATTACTAGTAATTTCTTGAAAGGCGTTCCCAATAAGATATTCCAGCTTCATAAGGCACAAATTCGTGGCATGGAACTTAATGAGAAATTTATGAGTGCCCAATTCACTGACTTATTTCGAAGATTGAATTTGGTTTTTCAACTCATAAAATATATTTATTAAAGAAACTTAAAAAATCGTGTTACATTTTATAGTTAACTTTTTAATCGACTTATTTCAGTATTAAGAGCAATTCTGCTTTTGCTCACGCCAAGTTACATAATAATAGTTTTATGCCGCTTTGATTAAACGAGTCCAACTGTCAAGAGAAACAAAGTAAGTTATAAATTTGTTTTGTATTTTCATATGAGTATATACATGTTTATTAATGATAACTTAAAGTTCCATTGAATTAGCCAATCGTTATTAATTTTCAAGCGTGTTTCCGATTAAGTAGAACGGCTTGGATGCTATAATGATCCTAATCCAATTTTGAAATATAACAAAAACAAATTTTATTTATTCAGTCTCGTAATAATGTGGCTTCATTAAAAGTGCACCTGACTAATATCAGAGACCTACACTTTAATCTCTTACCAGGCCACCACCACTCAGAAAGTAATAAGCCACACTCGCTTTTTTGGCGGAAATGTATACATCTTAACTAAAGTATAGCAAAAAGTTATTCCGAAGATATTTTATAGTAGAAAATAATAATACTTAGCATTCAATTGAAATCCTACCGGATATCGGCTACTGGATTGAAATTGTTCGTGATAGTATAACCAAAAGTTAGTCCTACAACTTCGAAAGTAACATCAATAATAAACAGTTATGAGTCTATTTAAATATAAAACAAAATCAAACAGAGTGAACTTTTCATAACTTGTAGTTTTATATAATTCAAAATTAAACATATGTACTATAAACAAATAATAACAAATGTAACATAACAAAAACATAACATATAAATGATTGAATATTTTGATTTAAATAGGTACAAAATTATATAATATTTATAGTCTACTATAGCAACTGTAAATAGTGGAATTACAAAACGAATTAAATACCAAAATACAGTCGAAAAGTCTGACTTCTGCAGAGTATAAAGAGTTTCTTTTAAATTGGTACGAGTGGAGGCCGACTATGTGAATTAAATAGAAAAAATGTGATATACCCATATTTGAGCTACCACAACTCCCATTTCTCTACCGGGGTATTATTACCACCCTCTAAAAGAAAATCGACGTGATTTTATTATTAGAGTCTTTCATTTGATTAACGAGAGTGCAGAACACCCCCAATAATCCCTAGGGTAACAATACACATACAGGTGTCCACCCACCCGCTTGCTTTGAGGTGGTCTGCTTGTTTGTAACTATGGTGTATGTAAAAACCACATACGGCCTAACCATCGATAACAGTTAAAAAATATTTAATAATATTAACTAATAACATCGTGTCGTCTGGTAATATATTGTCAAAATTCACAGTAAGATATTTAGCTATAAATTCATATTCATCACGATTCAACTTTGATCTTTTACCACGATGGTAAGTCACGAGAGGGGGCAGAAAAGGCTTGTGATCACATTATTGGATAAAATACTTATTTTTGGCTCTTAATATGCACTGCGTATAATATGAGTTCGAACTGAGTAAAAAGTATTAATTGTTAAGGTTTTTGGGTGTTATGAAATACATACATGTATCCTTTACATTGAAAACTGCAAAGACTTTAGTATGTGTAAAAATAATTAAGTATTAGTATTATATTGTTTAAATTGTTCGTAATTAGCTTTGTAGTCAACTACGTGTCAATTTCATCTCGATCGTCTTTTGTTGATCATATTTAGACATATACCCATAATTGTCTACAGTTCTGTAATTTTTGTTTTATACTTAGATAAACGTTCATTACTCAAAATTAAAATTCTAAACTGTTTTACGAACTCGCAGTATGGTCTTGCTCGTTAACGATTATATGGCACCCACTTGGCATACATTCTGTCCCTCTCTTTTATTAAAATAGCTTCATTGGTGCCGCTTCGTTGATGAATACTACATGAAAAGCAAATAACATAAAAGAGCAAATCAACGTATATAAAAGTAACAGACAAGTATGTCTCCCCAAAATTATATTACTATAATAGGATAGTTTCTCATTTATTCATTTACACAAAAGTAAGTAAAAGGTGGTTTATTTCATTTAAGTTGATTTTCACAACTAACAGCACTCACCTGACTCAAGTGTAAACATTTACTAAATTGAAAGCAAAATAATTCTACTAAACTTCATTACACACGACAGAACCATGCATTTCTCTACCGTAAATATTAATCGGTTTAAAAGCTTCAAACATGCAGTCCGACTAAGATAAAATGTTGACATTTAAACATTTTAAATGTTTTATTATTTACTTTTGTGTTTTAATAATATTACGAATAAATTAAATGTTTCTAAGATATTTTATTTACTTTTACATTTTTATAAAACACTTATTTTACTTAATAAATTTTGAACTTTATAAATTATTAAAAACAAAAACTCCTTTCAAATTTGTTCAAAATGTTTCAACATTTTGTAAGAACAATTGACAAAGACTATTTCGTATCACAACAGTGATACATGAAATAGGTACTAAGGCACTGATGTAATAATCTGAATACATTTTACATACAGTTTATGCTCAAACATAGACAATTTTCTATTTAAATTTATTTTGTAGAATATTTTAAAGAAACAACGAGAAAATGTATATTTTTCTTTTGAAAATTGCTTTTGATTCTGAATTTCTTTTTCAATAACAGACAAGAGACAGAAAATCATTAAAGTTCATATAATTACTTTCCATAGAATTGATATTTTATTTTTATATATATGTTCTTTTATTCTCCCTTTCTCTCAGTAATTGCCTGAGGTCTATTCAAATGTTCGAGACAGATGCCGCACAATATATGAAATAAATGTTTAGGTAACAATTCGTAATAACTTCATATTAATAACAATTAAAAAACATGTATAATATTTATACCTAGAAATGTATAGTTTTTTTAAATACATGTTTGAAATTTAAGATATCTTAAAACGAATTACACTTTTAAAGGACGATGTTACAACACAATGAAGCATAAATTAAAGAAAAATATCACCTAGATTGGCCAAAACTTTATTTGTATAATATTTAAAAGGAACAAGTGAATTATGAAGAGGTCGTCATCGTTAAGATCACACAGTATAATTATAAATATATGCATGATGATGTGTGTTTATAACATAAATATAATTTATTTATGAAAACTTTGTAAGCATATAAGACTATAGACAGCAAAACACAATTTAATATCAAAATCAATTCCGTATCAAAATGCACATTTCCTCTTCAATCTTTAAAATAAATCGCAATATAAATGTAAATATAAATTTCTCTGTGATTCAGTTTAAAAGTCTTTGAGTATAAAAGGATATAGAAATATAGACACTCCTTTATATATTATAATGTGTTTTAGTGACAAATAACATATACCTTGTATTATATGACAAACAATTCGTGTTATGAAAACCAAAACAAGGTATTTTTATGTTTAAATAGAGCCTTATTAATAAATATTTCCGAAAATGTTTATTAGTGAAATATTTGCTTCAAAAATTTTCTATTAATTTTAAAATACCATACTATTATTTTATAAAATGCGGACAAAAATTATCTGTTTATATTATCTAGCTTTTAAAATAGCTCGCATTCCTTATATGGCTGATATATGCACCTAATTTGAATGAGGAAATTGGTGTGAATTGTGTTCAAATTTCTTAAGAAATTGAAAAACTAAACTAATTTTATGAATATATCACTACTTGAATAATTTTAGGATAGTAATAATGATTTTAGGAATTTTGGTGACAGTAAATTGGACGTCTTAAGGCTTTAGCACGTTGGTTTATATCTCTTTAATGGTAGACATAGTGTTTTGTACCCGAATAATGAATACGCAGACTAAGTGGCTTTAAATTTCTTAAAACTTTTAAAATAAAAGATTAAATTAATT